AAAAAAAAGTGCTGGGTAAGCAGCTTTTGTGTGATCGAAAATGGAAAGTTTTTTTTCCAAAACATATTTAATTTTCAATAAACGCTTTTCATTTTCCCTCAAAGGATAAATGATAACTTTTATTTACAATTGAATACACAATTTGGAGTCAAGAAGTTCTTGCTTTTCATCTGAAGTTGAATTCAAATTCGCTTTGCTAGTTTTTGGCCAAAACTTTGACTATTAGGAAATGTCTTATTTTATGGCCAAATCACATAAACCAAACTTTCTCCTAATAGACTTCTCCGATTGTCTCGGTCCAAAAAACGGAAACTAAGTAACGTTTATTTCATCTTGAAGCGAACATTTGTGTATTTTATGTTTTGGCCTTCTTCATCGCAATTTCCGCTGCTCGGCAATAGGAATCTTGAGTTGGCCAAGAAAGTTTAGAGAAACTTTGCCACATTCGGCAGTTCTGGTAGTCGATATGCTCGGCAACTACTTGGCAAATTGTTAGCCATTGCAATTTCCGTCTGATGGAGACAAAAACGATCTGAAAACAATCTATTTTTTATTGCGTTAATAGATTTTTCTTTTGGCTCGATTGTGAGTTTAGGAAAGCATCCTTTTCTTGCCATCTATTTGCATCAATTTGCATAGCTCCTCTGTATCATCAAATATTGCAACAACCTGGGCCATTGAGTGACTGTGGCATCAACTTTTAATTATTTAACGTGCTACGTTTGGCACACACAATGCCAGGACTTCTTCGCCAGGACTTTGGGCTGCAAATGCATTTTGCATAATTTGTTTGTGCGCTGAGGCGTGCGCAGGATTCATCATCGTCGTCGTCGTCGTCATCGTCCTCGTCATTGTGGAGCCCATTCTCGAAGCTTGTCATATCAATCTCCTGGCTCAACCCATTTGCCGACAGGACTGCCGTGTAGAAGAAGGGTTGCATGCCCCCCCGGCTGGTGTGTGTGTGTCAAACATCAACCCTCTATGGCCACACACACTTACACTCTCACTTTAATTTATGTGCCACGACCCTCCGTGAACCAAACAATGTCACTTGGCTTTTGTAAGCTCACGTGTTACATGCAAATGTGCTTCCTGACTTCCCTGCTCCTTTGTCCTTAAGGGGGTCGTCGGGGGCCTGGGTAAATATTGTAATGATGTATGTGATTCCTTTTGTCCTGCCACAACTCCCTCCTATCATCGGTTTATTGAAATCTCTTTATGTCGAGTCCTTATCCCATCTACGACTCTCTCTCCTGGTTTTTTTCGAGTGCTTTGCGACCACTTGAAGAAATTATTATTTTTTGCAACATTTTCGCAAACATTGCTCTTAATGAAGTAACAACATGTCGCTGAAAGGAGTCATTAAAAAATGCTAAGGCAAAAATCAATAAACAATCAACAGAGAAATAAATGCAGCAGCGTCAAGGCTGCAATTACGTTGAATGACATTCGTTGGGTCGTCAAAGGAATCGTGTGGCAAGCAAAAAAATACTCAAAAATATTGTGAGTGCCACATGTAGATGAAATTGAAAAAAACACGTGAAATGCGTTGACGATTGCGTTTTTCAAGTGTTGCTGCCATCGTACGATGGATGCCAGCCCAGCTGTGTACCAATTAAAAATGCAGTGGACAACGCCCAAAAAAGGATAACAGCGAAAGGATGCCAAAAGCAGGGCTGGGCTGGGCTGGCCTAGCTGCATGTTGCACTCACCATGTGGCGGCTGCTGTTGCTGCTGTCAATGACAGCCCAAATAAAATGCAACAAAGCGTGTTGTAAACGCGCCAGAATGAAAATCAATAGTGATTCTACGGCCCGCAAATACATATTCATGCCAGCTTTATGTTTTTTCAAAAAATATACGAGCACATAGGCTTTTATGTACTTGGAACTCATATTCGGGCTGGTCAGCTGCTTCCTGTACATAGGGGCGTGGGAGTGGGAGTTTGCATGGTTGTGGGTGTTTGTTGCAACAACAATAATCGGAACGACAAGGCTGCAACATCAGTAACAATAGCAACAGCAACATCAGAGAGGTGTAGCAACAACATAAACACAGGAAACGGAAACGGACAGAGACAGGAATGGGGCTGCAACATGGGGTGTCCTGCAACGTCCTGCCACGTCCACCCACCGCCCGTTTGACGTCCGTCATAGAGCGTGCAAATGTTGACCTACATAGAAAACGTTGAGCAAACAGGCGCATAAATGCCACGTTAAACAACAGCCGAGCGCAGTGCAGATAAGTCTGCCTCTTTTTTACCAGCCCGGCCCAAACCCGTTTAGGCCAGGCCAGTGCGGCTGCCAACGCATTGTTAGAACAGCCGGCAAAGTTAATAGCCCATAGCCATCGTCGAATCCAAAACTATAGTTTAGTATCTGCCAGATACACCGAGAAAATAAAGGGGAAGAGATTAAAGCTCTACTAGACCTTTCTAGATCTAGAAGTTCTGGAATAATTCTCAGTGTCATACCTTTTATGTTATGGCTATTAATCCTCATACCCGGCTCATAATTGTTATGTAGATTTTATTGGGTTGCGTTGACAGGAGTATGGTGACCAGTATCCAGTGTCCTGCAGCATCGGATGTTGGCCAAGCCATTGAATGATTCCGAACAATGTCCTCGCCAACAAACAAATGACCGACTGAACTGAATAGAATGGAATTTTAAAGGAAGCGTCTCGAAAGTAACTTCTACCAACCGAAAATTTACTATCCTTCGGGGGGCAGGGTGGGGAGTAGGTGGTGTCCTCGCAATTTGGCACGCTGGATGGCAAGAGTGGCCGAAAGTTCCAGGCCAGGTGGTGCCAGGGCCTAAAAGGCACCGAACCAGGCAACCGACAAACAAACAACCAACCACTCGCCGTTTGAGCCAAAGAGGTCTAGATGGTGTAGTAGGGGATATAAAAGATGTAACCGAATAAAGGATATCCTATCCTTTAAGTAGTTTTTATATAATGCTATAGAATCTATAACTTAAGGACATCTCTTTAAGAACTTTTAATGGCTACTCTGGAGGGTAAATTATTCCCTATGACAAAATTATATTTAATCTATTATCTTATAGTATCTTTAATCTCTAAAAGTTAATCTGGAAACCGTTTTACCCCCAGAAAGGGTAAAAAAGCCCTGCAACGTTTGTTACTTGCAACATACACACACACACACACACACTGGAAGCAAACTCAATGAGTCAATGACTTTCTGGTGTCGCCCGTTGATGCGCAACGTGGTCCCGTTGTCATTAGCAGCGACACCAACACAGTGCTCCAACCATACCCCCCTTCTGGCTCTTCACCCACCACCCATCCACACACACACACATGTTTAGTAACATACACGCAGTGGCAGACACACGTGCAATGAGCACTCATGAGTTTTGTTACGGTTGCTTGTTGTTTGTTGGCTGTCGATTCCTCGTTGTTGCTTTTGTTGCTGTTGGGAAATGCGAACGGATCCGGATCCGGGTCCGGGTCTGAGTCCGAGGTTGAGTTGGGGGTACGTTGCCGTGTCCGTATCCGTATCCGTTCCCCTGGCCGTGTCCGTGTCCGGGTCTGAAATAAATTTGGCAGGCAAACACGTTTTGGCTTATGTTTTATTGTTGTTGTTTTTGTTGCGGCTGGTGTTGCGGCTGCGGCTGTGGCAACTGTCCTTGGTGACTCTAATGTGTGCCAAAATCGCACCCCTGCTACCGTGCACCCCTTTGGCGCTTTTTACGCATTCACGCGTCCCAAAAACAAGACGATGGCCAACATCAAAATGTGCACTGAAAATGGACGAAACCCAACATGGAATTTCAATTAAATTATTAACAAGTTTTCGCATCTAAATTAGCCAGCAAATGTTTTGTGGAAAATACCAGAATTTTTAATATTATTTATTTTTGTAAATAGCATACATTTTTTTTTGTCTGATTATTAGGAATCTTGGCAGTTGTTTTTTGGAATATGTTGCGGTCTTTACTGCCATAATTTCCCTAGGCTCTCATTAGCTGGAAAGTAGGCAACATTATGCGGCAGCAGAAAGGACCCTAAGTGTGAAATTGCTTTGCATAATGCCAAGTGAATTATGGGGGCAAATATTGTACAAGTCGGAGTCCATTAACAGGGTTCCAGAAAGCAAACCGATGGATCACTTTGGGCGTTTTTCTATTCAAATAACCAAATAATTGAAAGCAAATTAAGTTGCTTGATAATTATCCGTGCTGGGTGGAGGCCAAAATGCCATCACGACGTCTAATCTATGGGCCCGAAGATGGGCCGAATAATTGAAACATTGAGCCAGGCACTCACGCATGTGGCAACCACCCCCCTGGCCCCCTTTTTGGGGCAGTGTAAACACAGCTGTTCGAAGGCGCTGGAACAATTCGTGCCTAACCACAGACAACAAACGGTGGTGCGCAGGCGTGGAGAGTGCCGAGTGGAGAGCATGTGAACGGGGCTGCCAACTGCACCGCCGACTGTGGTGGGGCATCCTCTGAGGGGCATCAACGCCGTGGCATCCGGCAGTTGCTGTTCGAGGCTCGAAGGATACGCACGGCTCTGGCGGACGACGCAAAGGACGATTGGCATGATAAGGACGAAGCTGGGTTGGCTAGAATGCAACTCCACCGAGTGTGATGTGAAGTGATGTGGTGAATTTCGGCGCGAAGAGAGCCCGTACTCCGGAAGAGAGCCTACCGGAAGAGGAAAACTAAGAGGCTCCTACGCAGTCAAGTCGAGTCCTTGCTGGCGGTCGGTCCTTGCTGTGTCCTGTCGCGTAGGTGCAGTGCAGTGTGCCGGTAGTGTGATGAAGTCCCCGAAAAACACAACAAATTCTCAAGTGAAAAATTATTGAGAAAGCAAGGAAATCTCAAAGATTTTAAATGTGCCAAAAAATAAAAAATAAAATTTATTAATAAATAAAGTGTCTGATAAATGCGCTCAAAAGTGAAAGCCAAATCAAAATTGTACAAGTCACTGCCCTGCTGAAAAGCTGAAATATACAAATTCCTCAAAACCAAAAAAAAAAGCTCATCAATCTAAGCTCCAAAAATATACAAATAATATATCAAATAAAATCAAAACAGAAGCCGGTAAACATGTGGATTAGTAGCCGCCTTTTCGTGATTTTCCTGCTGCTCCATCTCGGTAGGTGAATCCCGGCATTTGTGCCGGAAAAACTCTTAAGCCCGGCAGCCGACTACCGACTGCCTACTGCCGGCATTTTCTTCAGGAGGGTTTCCCTCGACTTTGGCTTTCCTAAGTCGCTCGGCACGCGCCGCAAAGTGTGTTTTTGTTGCCATAAGTCCCAACAGCTGTCGGCGTGTTTTCTTTCATTTTTTTTTGTACACTTTTTTTTTTGGGATTTGGGCTTACGCGTTCGGAACGGAACTTATTATTAAGTCTTGCGAGTAAAACAAAAGGATTTGGAGGGATTTGGTCGGACTTAGGTCGGAGAAACTGCCAGAAAACTCTGGTCCCCGATCCGGGTCGGGGTCTGGACAATTACTCGGTTTATTATCATGCAAAGCGAAATCTTCAGACTCGCATTTATGGTGATTCATACGAGAGTGGCAAGGAGGTGCCATAATTTATGATATCTATCTCTTGAAACTCAGACCTCTGGACTCCGGACTCCGGACTCTAGACTTAGAACTAAGTGCAAATGACTTGGTGGCTTTATGGAGCAGAGACCATAAAAGTGCCGGCCAAACTAAAGGCCCTACATAATATGAAATTGCCTTATGATAAAAACCAGGCGTCAATTTATGCCACACAGACCCTGCCCCACTGCCTTTTGCACTAGACTTTCCATCCACAGGATGTGTGGCTGCGTCTGGGGCAGCCTAATGAAATGTGTCAGAAGCAGGAGCATATCCTTGTGCACAGGACAGGGGAAAAACCTTTTTTGGAAATGTGATATTTTCCAATTTTCATTGCCTAGCTTTGGCATTCGATGAGACCGACGGGAGGACTCCCCTTGACAACAAAAAAAAAAATTATCAAAATGCCACACAGATATTTCACGTATCCTCCATATATATATATCCAAATATATATATATATCTCCCCCCCTTTGGATAACTCCGGTCTGGAAAGCAAATGAAAAATATGCAAATGAAATTGTTGCTCAATGTCTAAGCTCTGGGGGAGTGAGAGATGGCTCACATTTTTCGGTGCTTGCTGGGTGTTGTTATTTCATTTCCATGCAGATAAACATAAAATATAATACCCTATATAAAATCGGGAGCACAAATCCGATTAGAGCTACGTGAGATGTACGGGGGAGCAAGGGATAGAGAGAATTTTGATGGTTAAATTATGAAAAATTATGGCCAGGGAAAAGTTTGCAGCGCACTATGATTGATTATGGTTTAAACCGTTTATGACAAACGCTTTAATTTGTTTCAGGATTAATGGAGTGAAAGAAAGAAAGTTTCAAGTTAAATGCTCACCAGATGCGAACTAAACTTTTCCAAAAAACTGCACAGTTATTAATGATGTTCTATAAAGCAGACTATATTTCGGTTCTGATTAACTTTGTTATTGCACTTTTTGTTTTTATTCCCCATTTCCAAACATTCTTTGGCTTAAAATAAAATCCCGCTAACAAAACATTTGGATCGCCTTCTTTTGGATCCTTTAGGACTCTATTTCTTGTGTGCTTTTTGGGCCAACTGGAGCACATCTTACTGATACTCCAGCCAAGGAACAAAATCAAGTTATTTACAATTATTATTCGGCTCTGGGCCGTTTTTGTTGCTATTGTGGCTGTTGCTGCTGTGGGATTGCGCGTTGGTCTGTAAACGTTTTAACTTCTTTCAAGTTTTCCTTTCATTTCTTTTTATTTTCGTCTTGCCCGCCTTTTTGGTCCTGTTGCGGAAACAATATTGAGTCGATATCTTTGCTGGGTGTTTGGGTCACGCCTTCCTGCCGCTTGTTTTTTCGCATAAAAATTGAATTTCCTGTATTTTTCGAGCTGATTGCTTACAAAGCTCTGCCCACCATTTCCGCTTGAAAGTCTTGGCCAGGACAGGACCTTAAAGTCCTTGTGGTGTGTGACTTTGTGCGACTTTAAAGGCAGTGACTGGGAATCGTGATCCATTAGAAATATTACCACTGCAGTGCCGGCTGAAATCCGGAGACACTGCATCACATACACACGTCCGCCTGGAGGCTACGAAATAATTTCAAAAAGTGCCAAAAGGGCATAATCCAAACACAGAAAAAAGCACGGAGACGAGGACGAGGACCACAAAAAAGTTGAGGGAAATAAAAAATACCCAACACACATACCCTGAAAACAGAAATAATGTCTGAGAAGCCGGGCAAAGTAACCCCTCAAGACTCGCACAAGTGGACGGGAAACACATTCGGAGTGAAAGAAGTGAAATGTACGACACAAAACGAGCGGAAATGCGAGCCAAAGAGGATGTGGGTGGGGGGAGCTCGGTGGCATGTGGCAGGGTGCCGGCGGCAGTTGCAGTTGCATGTACTCATACATATATGGAGCTCCATGTCGGGGGTGCCAGGTACTGGCGAGCTGGGAAACCCGAGCTGGGAAAACAATTTGGAGAAGAAATTTGCGGCAAATGGAGACAGTCGAAATGCGCTTTTTCAGTGACCGAGGAGTGTTGTTGCAACTTGCAATTGATTTGGCAGCACACAATTGTTGCAACAGGGAGAAGGTGATGCAAATGTATTTCAATCCCCATGGCTACCAAATTGAATTGAATTTCGAACTAAAGGGACGTTCCAGTAGGGAGAGCTTTTATTCGAATATTAGTTTTTAAAATGCTAATATCTTAGACCCCCACTTACAATATTAACTTGGCCAATAGGGCCTTTACACATTCATTGCAATAGGCCAAATACCATGTCGGGTTGGCCCAAAGGAGAAAAAAAGTTAGAACAAAGTACACCCACAGGACATTCAGGAAGAACGAAACACACGCACAGGATCACAAAGAGGGTGGACTTTTTGTTTTTGCAGGAAAGAATAAAACCCCTTCAAGTGGATATGTACACACACACATATCTACTAATATGGGATCTTGCTCCAAGGCTCAAGCTCGTAAAACATACCCTTTCCCAAAAAAAAAAAAAAAGAAAAACGTAAAAAATAAAGGAAAAATGAGAAACGAGTGCCGAGCATACTCAAGACATACTTGCAATAATTTTATGGCCTGGCAGAGGCCTCATCGTCCTTATCCGCGTGCTGGACCACGAGTTAGGGCTGCACGGAGGGAAATAAAGAAGAAAATAAATAACAAAAATTATAAAAATGAATTAAAGTTTGAGGATTACACAAAATTTCATTAAAATGTTAAATATGGAATGAATAAAAATAAAATTTAAAGTAAAAATAAAATTTAAAATTTAAAGAGAAGCATTATAAGATTTCATAGAGTTTCTTTCCTTCAAAAGTTTCATTCTGAAAAGCCTATAAGCTTTTTTAAACAAAATTTATATTATAAGGAGTATATTTCGTGACGAAATTTTTGCAGATTATTTACAATTGAAATTAAAATAAAGTGTTTAGTTTAATAAAAAGTTAATAAATTACGATTAAATTCTGTTTTGGTGTTATATTTTGTGGGTTAAGAGCTTTCTTGTTTAAAATCTGAAAAATTTCCAAGACACCTAAAAATATGGTTCAAGAAATTAATATTGGTGACGAAATCAAGGCATAAAAGTGAGATAAGAATTGAAAATATTTTGGGTTTTTAGTTCAATTTAAATTGAACAAATATTGATGAAATTAATATTTTTTTTTGTGTAATATGTGATTTTGATCCAATGGAGTAGCAATAGCTATAGGGAGAACCATGAAATCAACGGGAGGAAATGAAACGAAAGCTTCCCCGTCTCGGAGAAATGGGTGGGAGAAAGGGAGAAAGTTAAGGAGAAACAGAGACAGGCGGAGATGGAGACGAAACCAGAAAGCAGTTACATAAAAATCCATGCTGTCGAGCATAAAACAAAAAACGTTGGCCAGGCTCAAAACAAAAAAAAAAAACCATACAAAAGCAAAAAGAACAAAATAGAAAAAGGAGGAAAAAAAAAGAACCAACAAAAAACAACTCTAATTGCAGACACAATGACTTGTAGGGGGGCGGGCGAAAGAGGTATCGAGGATTCTCAGGGAGTGGGGGCCGAGGAGAAAAGAGGAGCGGAGCAGGTCCTTTTGGAGATTGAACGAGTTGCAAGGATTTGCACAGCAGTGCCGCAGGGAGAGCAGACAGACAGCCAGCCGGATGGCGCATTCATGTGGAATATGAAGCGAAATGTCAATTTGGATAAATACGTACATACATATATACACAAAAAAAAGATATATATATATTATATACAAAAATACATGGACGTAAGTGGGCAGGCCCTCAGGGAAAAGGCCGCTACAGCTAAAGACGAAATTGTTATTCTAATTTAAGATAAGAACAAAATCTGTTTGTTTTCAGGAAAATGAAAAAAAATTGTGACAATGTCTTGGCCCAAAAACGAAACAAAAAGAAATGCAAATGCTTATTAAAGAGCCAAAGGATCTTAGGGGATTTGCACACCCGAAAGGACATTCTGTTTTTTATGAATCCTTGATATACCTCAGAGATTATTGCTTTTGTTTTATGGTATCTCATATTTTAATATACGATTCCTGAAAATGAATGCTTCATATAAAAAATAAATGGGCCACAAAATATAATCATAAATATTAGTAATCGATATCCTTAGAAGAGTTCCTCGGTCTCAAATAAAATTAAAGCCCACATTTTATCTCACTTTTAAACCTAAACATATCCTTATCCTTCCAGAAACCACCTGCAGTGAACCCTTCGAAGCGCATCTGCGCGGTCCTGGCTTCGTAATGGAACCCCCCGGGCGGGTGGAGTTCTCGAACTCCTCCGGCGGCTGGTTGGATTGCTCCGCCTCCGGCAGCCCACAACCCACGATCGACTGGGTCCATGCGGACGGTTCGGCCGTAACCGAGATCCACGGGGTGCGGCGGGTTCTGCGCAACGGCACCCTCGTCCTGATGCCCTTCGCGGCGGCGGCCTACCACCAGGATGTTCACAACACGATCTACCGTTGCATTGCCAGCAACTCGGTGGGACGCATCGTATCGCGGGATGTGCAAGTGAGGGCGGGTAAGTTGGATGGCTGGGGGATACCAATGGGCGTGGTTGGATATTAAAATTCATATCTCTCGTCGGCACAGTCGTGGCACAGGCCTACAAAGTGGATGTGGAGGTCCTGTCGGCGTCGCGCGGCTGCACCGCCATCCTGCGCTGCGTGGTGCCCACGTTCGTCAAGGAACTGGTACGAGTCGTCTCCTGGGTTCATGAACCCGCTATCTACATCTATCCCTCGCTGCAAGGCGGTAAGTAACCCGAGGGTATACGCTGTCTCTTAGTCCTTCTGCCGCTGACAGAAGAGCCGAAACTGAAAGGATACGAAACTAGAGGGGGACTCGACTCGAGCTCGTCTGCATCCTTGTCCCTGTGGCAGCCAACAAAGTGCATTGTTTATTTGCAGTATTTGCCTCACATGTTTGCCTGCTTAACTGCCATTTCCAACTGCACCACTCTGTCCTCTGTCCCCCAGTCCTGTCCTTTGGTGCATAATTAACATTGTCCTTTAGCAATTTGAGACGGGCGCTTTGGCTTGACTTAACCCACTCTTCGCAGGAGTGCAACTTCTAGTTTGTCTGCCACAGAAAGAAGAGTCCCTTCTTGAGAGGTGAAAACTATACAAAAAGGTCGAGTATTTGCGGAGATTTGGAAAAAAAGAGTCAATTGATGTCTGGAAAGTGTTTTAGGGAATTTTAAGCAAGACTGCGATTATCCTTTGGCAGAGATTTAATTTTGAAAACATTCTAAATATCGCTTTCTCTACCCTGCAGATGGAAAATTCCACCTCCTGCCCACCGGTGAGCTGCTCATCCACAACCTGCAGGAGAGCGACGAGTCACAGTCGTTCCGGTGCCGCAGCATGCACCGCCTCACCCGCCAAGTGGTGGTGTCCTCGCCCACCCGGTTGCGTATTAATTGTGAGTATACCGAACCACTATCCCGCATCCCGTTTCTCACCTGATCTCACCCCGTCTCTCACCCCGTCGCATCACCTGATGTGTCTCTATCTCAATCATTTTTCGCCGCAGCGCATCGCGGCATCATTTCGCCGAGCGTGGTGGAGCACACGGCCCATGTGCAGGTGTCACAGGACGAGGGCGCGGTGCTGCTGTGCGTCGCCCAGGGCTGTCCTTCGCCCGAATACAGGTGTGTATGGGAGTATGAGAGTATGGGTGGGGCAGCTGCAAATCGATGGCATCTCTGTAGTCACTGGCTCTGGGCCGACGAGAGCTTTAGCACACATTTGTGGCGAAACTTTTGACGTTGACAGGTCCTGGCCGTGCATGCATGCTATAAGTTATTAGTACACTGTCTAAAAACTAAGAGACTAGGCTTATTTAGAAGAATGTTTATTATTTTTTGATTAATATTTTTTTCCCTCTGTAGTTGTGTGGTCTTGCTAGGGTATGGGTTAATTGGAACGCACACAGAGCCATAAAATGTGCGGCCAGAGCATTTAGCTTCCCAGCCAAATAAATAAACAACCGCCCCGAGGTCAAAGCTCTGCTGCTCACATTATTTTATAAAATGTGTCCAACTAGTCGGCTGTATACATACATTTACAGTTAATTGAAATGTTAGCTAACTTTCTCGACGGCCGACGGGGCGTATGAGTGATGCAACGTTAAGTATACGCCCCGTTGCGGAACAATGGCCCAGGTATTAGCGTATGTGCGCCCATAATTACGCCTTGATAAGCAGACAAGAAGCCCGGTATGGGGGCGGGGCAATGTCAGACTGCTGACAGAGGAAAACAAAAGAATCTATAAGCGAAACGTGGCATGGCTGGCTACACATATAGATAGATTGCTGTGCTGAGCAACAAAGGCGGAAAAAAAAGAATTGTAGTCATTTCATAATTAATACAACAGTGCCGGCAGAGCGGCAGAGGGGCAGGCCTGGACGAGGATAATGAGCGAGGCAAAGGATTAATGCAACATTAAACAAAGGCGGCCGCAGACGCGAGGGACTGGGCGGGAAAAGCGAGATAAAGCACAGCAAAGGTATTCAGGCCTTGAACTTCGTCTGGCTGACTTTGCCGTAGTTCCAATAAAAATCCCCTTTCAATATTGCCCAGAAACTTTGTCTGCCATCCGTCGGATGGATGAGATGCTTGACTTTGACCAGATGCCCTCTGATAAATGAGCTTCAGTTGCACAAAAGCCGAACTCCATTAATTTCCGTCAGCCCCAAAAAGTATGCTATGTTTTCAATTATAAATCAAAAGGACTAGAACTAAGGAATTTCAATTCTTGTTTAAATATATTTTATAAAGTACTATTTTTAGGAGTCTGTTGAATAATTACAGCTCCCCAGACCACATCGAATACTGAAATAGATTGCCATAACCACAGAATCCTATTCAGCTCTTCCCTTTTCCAATATATGTAGTTTTCAATTGAAAATCGCGATTAATGGACTCGATTTACAATAGTCTGATGCACATTAATTTTCCATCTCCCCCAGCTGGTACACACACAACGGAGCTGGACCCCTGCCCGTGCTGAGCGGTCCCCGGGTCCGACTACTGGGTCCCATCCTGGCCATCGAGGCGGTTACCGGCGAGGACTCCGGCGTATACAAGTGCACGGCCAGCAATGTGGGCGGCGAGGCTAGTGCCGAGCTCCGGCTGACAGTGGCCACGCCCATCCAGGTGGAAATCTCTCCGAATGTGCTCAGCGTCCACATGGGCGGCACCGCGGAGTTTCGTTGCCTGGTGACCAGCAACGGCAGTCCGGTGGGCATGCAGAACATCCTCTGGTACAAGGACGGGCGCCAGCTGCCGTCATCGGGACGGGTCGAGGACACGTTGGTGGTGCCGCGTGTGAGCCGCGAAAATCGGGGCATGTATCAGTGCGTGGTGCGACGGCCCGAGGGCGATACATTCCAGGCCACCGCGGAGTTGCAACTAGGAGGTGAGTAGCATAGAGTTTGAAAGGATAACAGAGGGGGAAAAAGGTTTACGAAACGACATTTTATTCCTGATTTGAAAATAAACCATTTTTCCCTCTAAAAACGCCACCAGCTTACAGTTTAAAATATTAATGCCACCTCTTCCACATTCTCTCATACACTCTAAAAAAAAACACACACACAATTTAAATCATTCCCAGATGCCCCACCCGTGCTCTTGTACAGCTTCATCGAGCAGACCCTGCAGCCCGGCCCAGCTGTGAGCCTGAAGTGCTCCGCTGCCGGCAATCCTACGCCGCAAATTTCATGGACACTGGACGGATTTCCGCTGCCATCAAACGGAAGGTAATTGAACTTGTTGAAAAGGGGCTGTAAGGGGAATGGGCACTGGTGCCAGAACGGGGCACTGGGTTGGGGCATGGGCCATGGAGCTTGGCAATGGCAACGCTGCGGGCGCTCTGAAAAAATTTATCTCAACTGCGGCTCCCGACTGTGGCTGCGGTTGCATTTATTGCACTCCGTTCTCTGTGTGTCTGTGTGTATGTGTGTGCTTTTTGCTTTTCCCCTCGCATATCCTTCCCTTTTTCTTTTTTCCTTTTTTTTTTTTTTGCATTTTCCTTTCAAAAACATTGCCCCACGAATATATAGAAAAACATATACACATATATAGAAAGTGGCTGCCGACTGCCGCGCCTACAAAAGTGGTTGGCTGGTTGTGGGGCTGGGACTGGGTGGGTCGTCCTTATCCAGCGTCTGCTCCAGCGTTCATTCACTCCTGTGGACTGTAAGTGTATCTGTAAATGTAAATGTATCTGTATCCTTTGGCGTATTCGTATCCGAGTCTGTGTCTGGCCCAAGGTTTCGACTTTGGCTTTCTATTTGTTAATTAAGCCTGGCCGACTGCAGAAAGCCAGTAGCCTTACGCATTTAATTGCATTTTTAGCTGGACGATTGCCAACTAAATTACTGTCGTTTCGGCCCGGCTCTTTAATGACATTGACATTTGCATTGGTTTAGAAATAAAATCGAAGAGGCCACATCAAATTGAATCCTGCCAGACTTTGCAAATAGTTTGTTGGCTGACGGAAAACAAATAAACTGCAACAGCGAATCGATTGATTGCCGTTACGGTCTCCGACATTGTCAGCGGCATTTCATTTGATTTTTATAGTGAGTCAGGCAGTCAGTTACCTTGCCCCTTTTTGTAGCACTGCTACATCCGTATCTGTGCAGTGGCAGCTGCCACTAATTGGTTGAGTTACGTCTGTAATGATTTGCAAGTCAAAGTTTTTCGCCCCGGCCACTGTTGATTAAAAAACAGCTTTTCCCATCCAGTTCAGCTCTTTTTTATTCACAGTTTCTGTTGCTTAGTGATGCGAAAAATAAAAAAAGGGACAATAAAGTGAAGGACAATATAAAAACCAAGGCAGCCGTGTCCTGATTGTTGTCCTGCGTGGCCCAGCTGTGCCAAATTTTAATTAAAATTTGTGCAATATGTTGCAGTCAGAAAATAAATATTTTTAAAAGCGGCAGAAGACTAAATAATATTTTGTAATTTCTTAAAGTCCAGTATTTATAAATTAAAACTCTATATATCTTTAATAAATATTCTAAGAGTGGAGTATTTAAAACGTAAACTATGAGAACCTTTTTAGTTACCCCTGAAGCGAAAACAGCAAATTAAGTCAGTCGATGACTTTGCTCGGCTCGATTGGTCATCTTTCGCTTAGTCCTGAGACAGGAAATTCCTTTGGAGAATGGGAACCGGAAGAGAGCTTGACCACAAGGCAAAATTGATTACAAAAATTGTTGTATGTTGTATGTTATGTGTTGTGTGTGTGGTCGGTGTGAAAATTTGCTTTTGGGAAAGTTTCCTACAGACGCCGATGGCTTTCATTTAAAAGTTATCTGAGCAACACAATTTTGACACATAATGCCTCGCAGGCATTATATCCTGGCGTCTCCGGCAACCTAATTTCACCAACAGCATCAGCATCCTCATCCGCATAAATTCAGTTGCTGTTTGCGTTGTTATTGCCGAGTTTTAAGTGGTTTACATTATTCGGTTTAAAGGTATATCAACTTGGTAAGTGTATTTATTTAATACACACAGACAGCACACAAACAGAGACAGCCAGGAGCTCAAGGGGGCCGGAGGAAGAGGCAAAGGAGGGAAGGACCTCCCTGTAGACGCCTTGGGGCGGAAATTAAATGATTGCGCGCACGAGGTAACGCAACACTCAAACGCTCATTTTACGCCATTTTCAAAAGTTTGTCTGCGGCGGAGGCACAAGCTCAGGTCCTGGCAAGAGGACTCCCTCCCTATGTATGTGTGCGTGAGTGTGTGAATGTAAATGTGGCTGTGCCAACAAGCGGAGACGTCAACGAAGACGTCTTCCTGTGGATCCTTGGCTCCAAAGACGCCGACGAAGGCGTGTATGCGTGATGCGTTTGTCTACAACTGCAGGCGTTATGGTAACGGCTGTAATTTTGGCCTAAATGAGAAAGCGTTTAAGCAGCAACCAGGCACTTTATCTACCTGTGTTTGGGTAAATTAGAGTGAGCCTAGAATATGGGAACCTCTTTGGAGCCTTAAGGATTTGAACTTTTCACAGAGTTCGAGCCAAATCTAATCTGTCGGCTGAAAACTATCCTGATTGGGATCGGAGTGCAAACTCGATTCCCCCAAAATTGAAATTCATATTTTTTTCAAAAACTTTTGACCCCACTCTGGGAGAAGTTCTTGCCACTCAATGTGGCACCTATTGGATTCTTACTCTGGTTTTTTTTTTTGGCTCACGGTCTGCCTGCCTGGCTGGCTGACTGGATGGAGTTAAGCCACCCTTCCACACACTGCAATCAGCTAAAACAGCACACAAAAGCCGCGCCAAGCTATTAGGTTTATATTGTTGCAGCCAAAAGCGTTTTATACTCTCCTCCTGCCCACACACACACTCTCAAACACCCACACACACACTTAAACTTCTGCAATGCCGTTTAAGCCGGCTAGGGGATGCGGATGAGGATGCGGATGTGTGCGACTTTGTTGCAATTTTGTCCCAGCCATTGTTTCAATGCGCTCAAGTGTTCTGCAGTCGTGCAGTCCTGCAGGACTGCGACTCAGTGTCCCTGTGTCCCTGTATGTGGGCCAGCTTCATTTTCATTTAACTACAGTTTCTGTTTTTACAAGTCCCGGCCAACCGCAGTTGGTAAAGATTTTTCGGCATGACTTGGCCAAAAAGCTTATGCATTCATAAGCTTCGAGCTCCGAGTTTCACGATTCGAGTTAGAAATGGCGAGCCGGCTGCAAAAGTTAATTAAAATTGTAATTACTTTGGCTCTTCCGCGCCATTATTGTTCCGGCTTCAACTCAATTCAACTCCGGCCGTAATGCCAATTGAAAAGTTGCCACCGAAAGGGCCGCAAACTAATGAGCCGGCTGTACGGTTGGCTGTTCCGGCTTAGATCGCAATTCCAGGCACACACACGAAACCGTATTTTACTATACAAGATGCCACAGAAGCCGATTGTGTGCGATTGTACGAGTGGGGCTTGTGCCACATGGCGTATGCGTAACAATGTTGCCTGTAATTAATGTCTGTGCCAATAAGGAGGAGAGGCGAACAAAGGAGCAAATGAACGAGCCAGCCACCGAGCAGAAACTTAATGCCAACTTGAGCGCTTCATAAAATCCTTTTTTCCTCATTATTTCAGCTGAGACGTAACGGCCGCATTAAGTGGAAGTCGCAACCGCTTAAGGGTGTATGAGTATATGAGCGTATGAGTGTGTGGGCGCTAGGAATGGGTGTGGCTGCGTGGGCGTGGCACATGACATTGACAGCAATATGGAAACTATGCTAAGCCCCGACAGCTCGACTGACAGCCTTCATTACGCCTAAATATGGCAACCAAAAAAAAAAAACAAACACGCAGATGCGAAAAACAAAAAACAAAATGAAGCCTCTGGCAAAAAAGGATTTGGGTCAGGCTGCATTTGAAGTGTGCCTCGTGTATGATTCTGTGTGTGTGTGTGTGTGTTTGTATAACCACTATAGTGTAGTGTAGCCCGCTTAAATATGCAACAGAAGCGGCAACTACAAAACAATTCGAAAAACACACGAAAACGCATTGCGCATACGCCGCGTACGCCCGCACCAAAGCCAATATTAATGTGTTTTTTCAGCTCTCATCCAAAAACATCTCTGTTTCTTTTTTTGTCGTTTCAGATTTATGATCGGGCAATATATCACTGTGCATGGCGATGTAATTAGTCATGTTAACATAAGCCACGTCATGGTGGAAGATGGTGGCGAGTACGCCTGCATTGCCGAGAACAGGGCGGGCCGAGTGCAGCATGCCGCTCGCCTCAATATTTATGGTATGTTGTATTCACACTTTGAGCGGGGTACTTAGATATAGAAATACACAGAGGGAATACTAAATGGTACAGGCTTTATTGGCCTTGAATATAAATAGTCTCTTACAATAGGCTCTAAGATAACATTTGTACTTATCCCTAACAACCTAGCTTAAAGGTTTTAAAAAGAATCATAAGTAGCTGACAGATGTAAGGAGAAGAGTCCCCTGCTTAAAAGAAATCCTTTCCCTTTGATAAATTAATTTAAATGAATAGAAAACATTTCCATTTGTTTTCTCCCTGTGGACTCTACAAATATGGCCAGCTACTTACATATGCACTTAAACGTCCTCCGTTTTTCGGGCTCGGGGCTCTTTCTTTTTGGCATTTGCCTACATTTGCTTTATTTTGTTTTACAACACGCTTGCCATGTTCCCTGTTTGGCCAGATTCGGTGTCCTCCATGCCTGGCCCGAATCCTCCAAAAATCCAGCCACCCTTCCCGCTGAGCCTTCTCCTTTTGTGCCTTTGCAGCAGGCAGTGAAGTGTTGTTCGAGGCGCACACTTTTGTTCAACATGGCTCTCGGCTGGTTGCAGTCCTTTCTGCCCCTTACACACAAAAAACCCCCTGTCTACCCCCATTTGCAGCAGCACGCGCACCATCTGCCTTGTTTTTGCAAGAAATCAAATATTTTTGTGTCGCCAGGCAAACAAAATGGCGTTGCCTGGCATTGCACGAACAAGGGGGCAGGAGTGCAAACACACACAGGACGAAAGGACTAACAGACGAGAAAGGAGGAGAGCAGCGGCAAAAACTGCGCCATGTTTACAAAGTTTTGCAGTGAAAAAGTTGAAAAATAAAGTCAAGTAAATTCTGTAAAAGAAAAATCCATCAACGAATCACTAATGCCCTGCTGAGAAAAAAAAACCTCCTAACTTCGTTTTGTGACCAAATAAACGCCAAGGAAAGTTAAATCACTCTGAAGTCCCATGATTATCAAACAAGAGGAACAAGTTATTCGAGTCCTTTGACAATTTCCGCATACCCTTCAACCATGTTTGCCCAACAAAGAGGAAATGAATCCCACTTCTACCATCAGCATTTAGTTTAAAGCTCAGCGATGTCGCTGATTGCGCGACTTGGTAATGGCGGTGATTACAAAAATCCTTCCTCTCAGCGTCCCCCGTCGTAAGCCGCGGTCCACGTATGACATGCTCGAAAATTATGCATATTTTGCAGAAAAAAAGCATACCCGGAGAGCCCAAGCCGCAAACTTTTGCCGTACTTGCCGTACGAGTATGTATATAAATGTACATAGCACTCCTTCAGTTTCTGCCAGGACATTACTTCCTTCCACGATCCCGAAAAGTGTTTTGCCGGGAAGGAGTGGAAGGAGTCAGGATATGCATATTACATTGTGTTCTGCTTCCTGTTGTGTTCAAAAAAATAATATTATAAGAAAGAAACCTTCTTTTAAAACGTTTTTAAAATAAAATATGACATGTTTTGTACTTTTTTATAAATGTTTCAAAAGGGATATTTTTTTAGTAAAAAGGATTGTTTAGTGTTTGTCTTTTAATTGTCTTTTTGATAGATATAAATGATAATTAATTTTAAATATTTTTAACAGTGTTTTTTGCTCATCGCTCTAAAGTTATTCCCCTTTGTAGTTGTAGTTGTTTACTGCATTATTAAAACAGCAACGTGTGCGCAAATCTGTTAAGCATTTAGCCACCCCCTCGTATCTTATCCTTATATGCTATCCTCCCTATATAACTCATTCTATATATTTTGTATATTTTCCACAGGTCTTCCGTATATTCGACTGATTCCGAAGGTAACCGCCGTCTCCGGCGAGACATTGAATCTAAAGTGCCCCGTGGCCGGGTATCCCATCGAGGAGATCCACTGGGAGAGGGGCGGCAGGGAGCTGCCGGATGACATACGGCAGAGGGTCCAGCCGGATGGCTCGCTGACCATCAGTCCGGTGCAGAAGAACTCCGATTCCGGCGTGTACACGTGCTGGGCGAGGAACAAACAGGGTCACAGTGCCAGGCGGAGCGGCGAGGTGACGGTCATAGGTTAGTATGTGGGGTCAGGTCGACAAAAACCTACAAAAAAAATGGGGGGAAACTGGGGAGAAAAAAAGACCAACAAGGAGGTCGAGGTTGGTTTCTTTCAGAGCGCTTTCACCCACGAGATGAGATGACATCGGCCAGGGCGAACAACAACGGAACGAAGTGAAAATTGCATTTTAATTATTAACAGCAAACTAAGTAGTTTCCTATGGCGCTTTCTGGCCAAGTTGCTCCTTTCTGGCCAACCTTTTATTTTTCGGGTTCCTCATTTTTTGGTTTTGTTTGGCTTTTAGCCCACTGTGTGTGTGTGTGTTTTTTTCTTGCTTTTCCCCGCTGTAATTAAATATGCGCAATAATCTAAGCTTAAAAGTTTGCAAATTAAAAAAGGAAGCCGAAGCCGGGACCCTTTTTTCTCCATTAGTGTTAATGTTAATGAATTCGCGCCCTAATGAAGCTCGGCGCTGATTAAATTTTCATAAATCGCTACCTTTTTGCCGGTTCTTGGCTTCGGCTTGGGCTTCCTTTTTGCCGCTGGCTCATCAATTCCTGGCTGATCCCTTACAGTGCCGCCGAAGGTTAGTCCCTTTCAAACGAGCATCCTGCAGCTGAACATGGGCGACCGGGCCTCCCTCACCTGCTCGGTGGTGAAGGGCGACCTGCCGCTGACCATCAACTGGCGGAAGGACGGCCGCCCCATCGACCCCACCCAGCACATGTCCGTCAAGCAGGTGGACCAGTACAATAGCATCCTGGTGATCGAGAATCTCGGCAGCGACCACACCGGCAACTACTCCTGTGTGGTGCGAAACTCGGCAGCCGAGGTGGAGAACTCGCAGGCCCTGCTCGTCAACGGTAAACACATCAGCGAACCGCGTCCTGTAACCCCTGTTTGCAGTTTGCAATTTGCAGTATTGCAGTATCCTGTTTGCCGTATCCGTAATCCCGTTTTAGTTGCAAGTAGTTATGTTCCTTTCGTATGCACTTTGATTCATGTAAGACACATCCACTCGAAAGCAAAACCATTCATTAGCTTATCATATATACATATATATATATACGATCCTTTCTATCCTCTGTAAATGATGTTTCCACTTTCGGAATGTTTGTACAAGATTAAGTAGCGTTTTCATTCGAATTACATGTTAACAAAACTGCGAAGGTTTACTGCGAATACCAAGTGTTTGCAATTTGACAAATCTACAGAATCCAGAGTCTGCTGAATCATCGTGGGAATCCATCGGGGGAGTCGCCAGGGGACCTACACGAGTGACCAGGGAGAGTGTGTTAACCCTTCTTGCCCGATCTTTCCTCTTGCAGTGCCACCGAGCATAGAACCGTTCGCCTTCCAGGAGGGCCTGGCCGAGGGCATGCGGACACGGACCGTCTGCGGGGTCTCCCGGGGCGACCCGCCCCTAAAGCTGATCTGGCTGAAGGACGGTGAGCCGCTGCCGGACCTGCTGGGGGCCAATGTCACCATGCTAGACCAGTACAGCTCGCTGCTGAGCATTCCGTCGCTTTCCGCCACGCACTCTGGCGAGTATACGTGCGTGGCCAAGAATCCGGCGGCGGAGATCAAGTACACGGCCCTGTTGCAGGTCAAAGGTAGCGTACTAGCGTACCCATCAGAAATACACTGATAAACACAAGAACAGAGAATATAATATTGTTTTTTAAATTAAATATTTTATTAAAATTTAAAAGAAAAATGTTAAGAAAGAGCTTTTAGTGTCTTACCCAAGAACTGATTGATTTCGAATCTTGAATAATCAAAAGCTTACCTAAATTATTAAAAACATTGTTGAGTAATTTTATTAAACTAAAATTTTCCAATATTATATCTCTGTTCACCATTTCCACCATTAATTAAACAACATACAAAAATAACAATACTAACACCCATTTTGACTAAGCGAACTTCACTTGCCCCTCAATAACTTTTTGCTTTCCCGCTGATGTATTCAAGACGAGCTTCTTAATGGTATTTTCAGTTGTTGATGATATAAATTTTGAGTTGATTTTTAATAAAAAACTAAATAAATGAAACTAGGCTTTTTTTGGAGCTCGTTGAGTAAGCTTCAGAGTAACTAAACGTTGCCCCCAAAGTCCCTCAACTAAAGGTGCTTTGATTTTTTGACTCTAACTTGATAACAAAAAAAAAAAAACCAAAAACAAACCAAACCCCTAAACAAGCCCCGCTTAAACCCCCCTAAAAGAAACAAAATATCCAACTAATCTACAATTAAGAGTTTCCCGCCACCCTTAAGTCGCTTTTGGCACGCTGTGGGTTTTTTTGACAACCGTCTCACCAGGTAATACGTTTTAACTGCACTGCTTCTTAAACCGCTTCGTAAACCAAAACCAAACAAAAATCTAACCAAAGCATAAGTATATATCCTTTTTAAGTTGCTCTATCATTTAAATGGCTTCTTACACATCAAGTCGGGCTATATAGAAATATATATATCGAATAAGTGCGTTTTCTAAGCGGAATTGGCATTATCTTTATGGGCATTATCTTGGAGGACGCACTGCATTCGCAATTAGCTGTGTAATTTATAATTTATAGAAATACTCATGCATAAACATGGAAAGATGGGCTGCTTTAAGATTCATTTGCCTTAATCGCTTATATCCTTTTTGGCTGCTGCCGTCTACGTTGCAGGATAAAAGCCAGAAAAAATACAGAAAAATTCCCTTTTGTTTTGGCTCTGCTGTGTTCTGCTCTTCCCGGCTCTTCTCTTCATTTTTGCTCCTCTGACTTGCAGCTCCTCTATACTCTCCACTCCACCTCCAAACTACTATATATACATATATCCTGCTCGATGTGCTGTGTGCTTAATTAAAGAAAATCCAAGAAGCTAAAGTATGAGTGCGGACATATCCTCTGAAGACGCAATGAAACACGCGCTGCTTATGCTTCAATTTGGTTATGGCCTTTCTAAACGCTTACTCTCTCTTTGTATCCTGTATATGTCCTTTATATATATCCCACTTTCACCCTGTGCTTGTGTGTGTCTGAGTGAGGCTGACTGTGGCTGTGTGTGGGTCTGAGTGATTGAAAAACGCTTAAATCTAAATCTAATTGCAGAGCAAAACGAATTAAAAAATAACAAAAACCGGAGAAACCAAACGAAAGTGGTTAAGAAACTTAAAGCTTCGCAGTATTTGCTAATCTAGTTGTGCATGAATATACATTTTTTTTAGATTTTTTTTGCTAGCAAGTGCTGTGCAGAAAGCACTTTTTGTTGCTGCATGAAAACTGTACATACATAGTAGAGAAATTTTTTTTTTGGGTTGTTTCGTTTTTGCAATTTTTGTGCCAGCTGCATGCGCGTAGTGCTGTGACAAATGAATTTTAATTTCCATTTATTTATGATTTGCTTGCTTTACCCGTTTGTTTTCCATTTTGCTGAGTTCTCAAGTCCAGATCCCAGCTCTCTACAGTCTTAATTCGTTTTGGGTTTTTCTGGTTTTAGGTTTCCCTCCTCTGGTTTTCCACTTAATTTCATCAGCCAGTCTGGAGAATGTCCTGGCTGGCATTGCCATTATTTTTATTTGTCCAGCAATTTTCCACAAACTTAATTTATTTATTTTTCTAATGCTCCATCCTCGACCCTCCCAGGCTGTTGTTTGTGTGCAACGATTTTTTTACGAATTAGAAACGCCCGCCCCCACAAAACAACCCCACCGAAAATATTTAAACCAGAAATTATTTTAATTAATACCAGGCCTTGGGGTCAATTATTAATTTCATTTATAGCGCCAATTATTTGCTCCTTGTTCGGGCTTAATTTTTAATTGATATTTTTCATTTCGTTAGAGCTGCACAAACAAACAAAGGCTGCCAATTAAATGCAGCTGCTAAGTAAACAGTTTATAATTTATTGGGGCCGTGAGCCATGGAATGGCCGATTGTTAAAGGCTCTCCAGATGGCTATGTGGGAATCCCCGTATTATTGGTTGGCTTTTTCGTGTTTTGTTAGCTGCGTGTCCAATCCAACTTTAAACTCACACAATTTCGATTTATGTTGCGCCATATAATTTCTATGCAAATATATATTTTCCATTACGCTTCTGGCATGCCTTTGTTATTTAATTTATGCGCCGAATATACCAGAGCATATTAAGCCTTTTTTTGCGAATTTTTTGTTATTTTCCAACAACAACAACCATCAAAGAACAGCGAGGCGTGGCGAAAAATAATCCACACTTTCCCACCCAAAAATACAAAGCGATTTCAATTATCGAAAAAATCCATGAGAAATACAAATAAAATCCTTGCACACCAACAATCCGCATTAATTAATTTCTCCCGTCGATGATCCTAAACGATTTTCATCCTAAACTTGAAATAATAATATGACGAGAATCAACGTTTATTTTTGTTCCATTTTTGACTCAGTTGCATATGTGAAAATTAATTTTTGGATTTGATTTTTTGAGCAAACCACCTAATGGCAAATGCTATCCTTTTGTATATTAGTTGAAAAGTTCCTACTATATTGCTACCACTATTCAACCATTTTTTACATTTGTGCTAGGCACAATGGAAACCTAAAGAACGTAAAACAAAAAGAAATCCTTTCTGCCGTTTTTTACTTTGCCACAAATCTTCACTTTTCCTCTCTGTCTCTATATCTCTCTCTCTCGCTATCTATCCACCTATCTATCTATCTCTAAGAACCATTACTATTCTGTATGTCTTAGCAGTTTTAATTTGAATCATTCGTTCTGCGACAGTAATTACTTTCCACCTCTGATGATAATCGATTGTTTCTCCATCACTCATCCGCCCCGTAGTGCCGCCGCGCTGGATTGTCGAGCCCGTTGACGCGAATGTGGAGCGCAACCGCCACATAATGTTGCACTGCCAGGCCCAGGGTGTACCCACGCCCAGCATAGTGTGGAAAAAGGCTACAGGTAAGCATAACTACTGCATGCAATAATGCAATAATTTTTTTTTAATTTTTTACTTTCCGATTTTTATGCAGATTGATAAGAAATTGTTCAAATTATTTTTAAGTTCTTGGCTTAAGAATCTGACTTAAACTTAGGCAGATATGGCAATAGCAGTGGAAAAAAGTTCACACCCCTAGGCTTTTCCCACTTTTCACAGGGGGTCCCTAGAAAAAATTGAAAAAAATGGGCAAGATTTCACACCCAGAGGTTTTCCCCACTTTTCACAGGGGGTCCTTCGAAAAAATTGACAAAAATTGAAAAAATATTTTGCATTGAGATTTAGATGCAGTTTGATGGAGAATTGTTCCACAAATCTTTTGAGGTACTTGGCTCAAGAATCTGACAAAAACCTGAAAAGATATGGCAATCGGAGTGGGCAAGATTAAAGATCCTGAGGTTTTCTCCACTTTTTATAGGGGGTCCCTCAAAAAAATTGACAAAAATTGAAAAAATATTTTGCATTGAGATTTAGATGCAGTTTGATGGAGAATTGTTCCACAAATCTTTCAAGGTACTTGGCTTAAGAATCTGACAAGAAACCGAAGAGATATGGCAATCGGAGTGGGCAAGATTTAAGATCCTGAGGTTTTCTCCACTTTTCACAGGGGGTCCCTCGAAAAAATTGACAAAAATGGAAAAAATATTTTGCGTTGAGAATTTAATGCAGTTTGATGGAGAATTGTTCCTCAAATCTTTTAAGGTACTTGGCTCAAGAATCTGACAAATACCTGAAAAGATATGGCAATCGGAGTGGGCAAGATTAAAGATCCTGAGGTTTTCTCCACTTTTTATAGGGGGTCCCTCAAAAAAATTGACAAAAATTGAAAAAATATTTTGCATTGAGATTTAGATGCAGTTTGATGGAGAATTGTTCCACAAATCTTTCAAGGTACTTGGCTTAAGAATCTGACAAGAAACCGAAGAGATATGGCAATCGGAGTGGGCAAGATTTAAGATCCTGAGGTTTTCTCCACTTTTCACAGGGGGTCCCTAGAAAAAATTGACAAAAATTGAAAAAAATGGGCAAGATTTCACACCCAGAGGTTTTCCCCACTTTTCACAGGGGGTCCTTCGAAAAAATTGACAAATATTGAAAAAATATTTTGCGTTGAGAATTTAATGCAGTTTGATGGAGAATTGTTCCACAAATCTTTTGAGGTACTTGGCTCAGGAATCTGACAAAAACCTGAAAAGATATGGCAATCGGAGTGTGCAAGATTTTACACCCTGAGGTATTCCCCACTTTTTATAGGGGGTCCCTCAAAAAAATTGACAAAAATTGAAAAAATATTTTGCATTGAGATTTAGATGCAGTTTGATGGAGAATTGTTCCACAAATCTTTCAAGGTACTTGGCTTAAGAATCTGACAAGAAACCGAAGAGATATGGCAATCGGAGTGGGCAAGATTTAAGATCCTGAGGTTTTCTCCACTTTTCACAGGGGGTCCCTCGAAAAAATTGACAAAAATGGAAAAAATATTTTGCGTTGAGAATTTAATGCAGTTTGATGGAGAATTGTTCCTCAAATCTTTTAAGGTACTTGGCTCAAGAATCTGACAAATACCTGAAAAGTTATGGCTGTCGGAGCGGGCAAGATTTATAATTTGCTTCATTAAGATTTTATGCAGTTTGCATCCTTTTCCATTTTACTTTTATTAGAAGGTTTTAATATACTCCTTGAACCAAAATATACTCTTCTCGTCGCACAATATTTGATTGTCGCATATCCCTTTACAGGCAGCAAATCAGGCGAGTACGAGGAGGTCAGAGAGCGCCCCTTTACCAAGCTGCTGGGCAACGGGTCCCTGCTGCTCCAGCACGTGAAGGAGGATCGCGAGGGCTTCTATCTGTGCCAGGCCAACAATGGCATCGGCACCGGTATCGGAAAGGTCATCCAGCTGAAAGTGAACTGTGAGTATCTCGGCGAGTGGCAATTTGGTTAATTGCGGAGCTGTGGGAAGCCCCGGGGGAAAGTCGTGAGGGAGGTGCTCGTAATTAAAGTGGCAACTGTGCTCCCTCTTTGCAGCCTCGCCGTACTTCTCCTCCACCTCCCGCTCCGTGATGGTGAAGAAGGGCGACACCGCCCTGCTCCAGTGCTCGGTGAGCGGTGACAAGCCGATTAACATTGTCTGGATGCGTTCGGGCAAGAACACGCTGAATCCCTCGACCAATTACAAGTGAGTGCATCCCCTGCAGCACCCCAGCCATGTCCATAATCCTTCGTCACCTTCACTTTCAGGATCTCAGTGAAGCAGGAGGCCACGCCGGATGGTGTCTCCGCCGAGTTGCAAATCCGTACAGTGGATGCCACCGATAGCGGTCCGTACTTCTGCCGGGCGAGCAATCTCTATGGAAACGATCAGCAGCTGGTGCAGCTCCAGGTGCAGGAACCGCCGCAGCCACCCAGCGTTTTGGAGGCAGCAATGATCAGCAGCCGGTCAGTGAACCTCAAGTGGCAGCCGAAGACCCTGGGCACGGGTGACGTATCGAAGTACCTGGTGGAGTTCCGCGAGGCTGATCGTAAGTAACATTCATAGTAATGAATCCCTAATTATAATATAACAATACAATCATGCTGTAGCAGCTCTCTTCGTGGAGCAGTGGCAGCAGGTGGAGGTCAAGGACCCACCCACTTTTAATGCCCTGATAGAGAACCTGAAGCCAGCCACGCGATACGCCTTCCGGGTGATTGCCGAGGGCTCTGCCGGACGAAGTGCCCCGAGCCAGGAGCTGATTGTCCGCACAGAACCACAGAGACCGGCGGGTCCACCGCTGAATCTCTCCGCCCGACCTCTATCCTCTACGGAGCTGCTTATCAGCTGGGTGGCTCCGCTGCCAGAGCTACGACATGGTGACATCCAGGGCTACAATGTGGGCTACAAGCTGGCCAATTCGGGCAACACGGCCTACAACTTTACCTCGGTTTCCGGTGACGGGGATGGCGGAAACGGAGAGCTGCTGCTGAGTGGGCTGGCCAAGTTCCAGCGCTACAATGTGGTGGTGCAGGCCTTCAATCAAGTGGGGCCTGGTCCGCTCTCGGAACCAGCTACATCCCAGACCATGGAAGACGGTAAGTTAAAGGATTATAGAGTTATCTTTAGAAAGTAAAACACTCTAATATCGTTGCAGTTCCCAGTCGCTCGCCGGAGGATGTGCGATGTGCCGCTTTGTCTTCACAGTCCCTGCAGGTTTCCTGGCAGCCTCCTCCGATCTACCACACGAACGGACTTCTGCAGGGCTACAAGCTGGTCTTCGAGCCTATTATTGATGACATCCAACCTAGCAAGGACGAGGTAGAGTCACGAAAGACCACCGCTCTGACCATGGTCCTCACAGGACTGCGCAAGTACACCAACTACAGTATCCAGGTTTTGGCTCACACCCGAATGGGTGACGGAGTGTTGTCGAAGCCCCTGTTCTGCCACAGCGAGGAGGACGTCCCGGAGGCGCCGGCGGACATCAAGGTGGTGGTGAGCTCATCACAGTCTCTTTACATATCCTGGCTGCCGCCGACGGAGCCGAACGGGGTGATCACCAAGTATAGTCTATATACACGGGTGGTGAACGGACGCGAGGAGCTGAACAACGAGAAGCGCAGCCTGCCATCGCAGCAAGCCTATTACGAGGCGAAGGGTCTGCATCCCCATATGGAGTACCAGTTCTGGGTGACGGCCAGCACGCGGGTGGGCGAGGGAAAGAGCTCTCGGGTGGCCTCTCAGATTACAACCAACCGTATCCCGGCCCGGATCATATCCTTCGGCGGCCTAGTGGTGCGGCCCTGGCGCTCCACTGTCACCCTACCCTGCACTGCGGTGGGCAAGCCCAAGCGGGATTGGTTCAAGTCGGACGTGGTGCTGCGCCAGGGTGGCCACCACAATACACAGATTCTAGACAACGGCGACCTGATCATCTCCAGCCTAGAGCTGGGTGACGGCGGTAACTACAGCTGCCAGGTAGACAATGGCATCGGAACTGATCGCCTGACCCACATCCTGCTGGTCCAAGTGCCTCCTGCGGCACCCACTCTGTACGTGACCAGTGCCACCTCGAGCAGCATCCTGATGCACTGGAAATGCGGCTTCACCGGCAACGCCCCCATTACCGGGTATACCCTATTCTACAGGCGCGGCAACGCCAACACCGATGAGATGCAGCTCTCCCGGCATGCCTCCAGCCACGAGCTTAAGGGCCTCGTCTGCGGCAGCACCTACCAGATCTACCTGAGTGCCCAGAACAAGGTCGGCCCCTCGCCCTCCAGCATTATGCTGCACGTCCGCACCCAGGGCCAGTCTCCGGGTCAGCCTTCCTCCACGGCACTGCTGGCGCCCAACTCCACCTCGCTCCTGGTCCGTCTCCACTCCTGGCCGGACAACGGCTGTCCGATCCTTTACTTTGTCTTGCAGTACAAGGCGGTGACCGACGATCCGGATGCTGAGTGGGTTATGGGTGAGTATTCTTCAAGAGATATGATATAATGCCAGCATCGCTATATTTGACTTTTCAGTTTCCAATGCGTTGAAACCTCAACGTCGTCTGGTGGTTCCCAACCTGCTGCCCTCCACTCTGTACCATCTCCGCATGGAGGCCCACAATGTGGCTGGCGAGTCGAGTGCCGAGTTCTCTTTCGTGACCCTGACTAAGGACGGGGACCCACCGCCACCGGAGATCGTGCAACGTGGCCACCGAGGCACAACGGTGTTCTATGGAAACATTAACCTGCTGATTCCCAGCATCGCAGCGCTGTCAGGAATGATCTGCACCATCGTCATGGTCATCATCTGCTACAGAAACAGTAAGTATATGGATAAGTACTTGTCGGCGTTTAGTGACTTACTAATTGGATCAGTGCTTAAAAATGCACGACCGCTCGCAGAGCAAAGCGCCCACAGCCAGAAGGAGTCCCTGGAGAATCGAGCCAACTCGGAGGCGGCCCAGAGGGAGAGGTACTACGCCACCATTCACAAGGTGTCCATGCAGAACAATGATAAGATTCCAGGTAAGACGTTAGACATACGACCACTTGATCAGGCTTGCTTACGGTTCAGGGAATCCTTTTGTTTTCAGAAACCTCCGAGGACATCTCGCCATACGCCACCTTCCAGCTCTCAGAGGGGGCTGCAAACATGTCGCAGCCGCACCATGGAGGTCCTGCCAATACGCTGCTCCACTCGTTCATGTACCACGAGCGGGCCCTGGCCGAGGGCTGCTCGTCGCCACCACCAGCCGCGGTACTGAACCACCAACCAACCACCACCCATCACCACCACCACCAACGTCCACAAAAGACAATTCATAATTATTATCAGACCTCACCGTTCCATAATATCGTGCGTTTGTTTATTCCGTTCTTTGATTTAGCTGTCTTCCTCTCTCTCTCTCTCTCTCACTCTGTCGCTCTTTGACCTGCGGGGAATGTGGGCCAAGGATTCGATGGATCCTTCGGCCGCCCTGACAGACTGACAATTAGAGTTTCCTAAGTGTACTAACTACGTGCTTTTTATGTTGTTTAATTCTGCTCGTGTTTGATTGTTTTCTGATCTATTGTTTACTTTGGTTTTGTTTTTGTTAATTGCAATGCCGTAATCATGCCCGAGGGACTGACCCCCCCGGCAACATGTCACCCGCCAGTCTTGAGTTACCCTTTCTTTTGTTCGAAAAGCGTTCCATCCCCAGGCGCTTCTGTAGTGCTAGCTGCCGATCCGCTCCAGTTCGAATACTCAGATCCAGACTAATTTCCCGCTTTGTTCCATGTGCTGCACAGTCGAAGAACCGGAGGCGCCACTCCCGGAAGACGGAGCCGGAGAGCGAGGAGTCGGAGTCGGACCAGGACCAGCTGACCTCCAGCCGCACGGAGTCCTCTAATCAGCACGAGGGCAAGATCAAGCACAGTAAGTCCTGTTCCTGGCTTGAGTCATAAAGCATTTGTTTTGGTTTTCCGTTCCGGTTGAAGCTTCTCCAGAAGTCTTTTGATATCTAGCGACTTGGCAGCTGAACTCTCTTTTTGTGTTGCTTTGTTTTTGCAGACTCTAGACTAATCCAACACTTTCCAAACCACAATATCTCGATAACATATCTGTAGTAGGCCAAACTGACACAGCACCACAGCACATAGAAACCAAAAAACCAAAGACCAGATCAGGCCATCAAAGACTAAAATTTGTACTAAGTTAGTGATAGTCGATAAGTTTGCGCTTTTTTCACCCTGCCACACCAACCCTGCCACACAACCTGCCAACCCGCCAGAGAACTCTTCTATCAACCCACCATTCTTTTGTATTCTTCTGTTCTTTTCTTCCCCCGTAAAAAAAAAAAACAACAACAAAAAATAACATTTGAAATCAAACATCTGCGCCTGCGCTGCGATCCATCGCCACCATCGTCGATCCACCGATCCGTTGCTACCTCGATAATACAGGCATCATCTACCATGGAGCACAGTCAAGCACCTCCTCCGATCTGTCACCAATGTCCGAACAGAAATCATTGCCCCGCCGCGGCCGCTCCAGGTATCATCACCAGCAATATCAGTTTTCCACCAATACCACACCGCGCCACCACAACAGCAACAAAATGAACAACAACACAAGCAACAACATCAACACCACCAACATGAACATGAACACAAATACGACAGCCACACCATCGACGAGCAATTCGAACAAAATTCTATCGCCGCGGGGCGGCGGAAACCTCAAGTCCATATCGAGCACCTTCAAATCACAAGACTCCATTCAGTGCCACATACCCACATTGGTCAAGTCGCCATCGATCAGTACACAGCAGCAGAAACAGTTCCACAAACAGCAGGTCCAGGGTAGCACTAATAGTAGCAGTAACAGTAACGGTAACATGCCCTGTAACCCCAACTCGAACAGCAGTAGTTTGAAGCAACAGCAACCCCTCCTGATCACGCCCAAGCTCCATCAGCTGGAGGCCGGCAGCGGGCCGCAGGAGCTGATGGGGCTGGACGGGATCGGCGGTAGTCCCCTGGTAGCCTGCATGCCGCCCTCCTCACAGTTCCGCCCCATACCCCACAAGTCCTCGATAATGCCCGCGCATGAGCCACCGCACCACCAGAACCACAGCAACCACCTGCCGCCGCACCACCCGAGCTCGGGCTCCACCCTGCTCAACCCCTCGACGGCCATGCTCTCGTCCAAGTTCTTCACAGCGCCCACGCTGCCCAAATAGGATACGGCCAATGGGGGGGGTGAATATGTTGGTGGTGCCATGGAGGCATTGGAGGGTTTCGGCTACGACAGCGGCGAGATCTCCTGCACCTACATGGACCCCATAGATCAGACATGAGACCTGGCCTACGGTGAGGTGTGTGGCCCCCCCGAAGGAGCTCGTTAGAGCCCTGGACTTACGACCTGAATTTGAATTAGCTCTTCCGATTTTTGAATTTAACTAAAAGTCTTCTCAAAACATTGCAATCAGGTCGTGAGAAGGAGGGGCCACATAGTCCACACACCCGACTAGTACGATACACCCGAAGACTAGAACACCACCACTAGGATACTAGGTCTTTAACTGAATGAATGCTTGAGCCGTGGTTGCACCTAAAAAATCCAACTCTGGACCCTCTCTTGTACTTGCACCCCCAACCACCCCGCAACGTTTGCAACCCACCACCCATCCAACCCCCAAAAACACGCATTCGCATTCGGATCCCAGGGCCGGGATCCTGCGCACGCTGCATCCGCTCCAGCTGCAGGCCGAGTGCTCCGGCGGAGGAGCCTTCCGCCACCAGACGCAGGACGGAGGGCTGGGCGAGCGGATAGAGCTGGCGGAGGTCGAGTGCGACGTGGACACGATCAAGAAGCTGAAGCTGGGACAGCGGTCCTCGCTCTGGTCGCGACCCTCATCCACCACCTCCCAGCTGCAGCAGGAGCACCAGCAGCAGCAGCAGCAGCAACAGCAGCAGCAGCGACAGCAGCAGCAACAACCCCACAAGAGAGCCCATTCGAAGTCGCCGCAACCACAGCAACAGCAACCATTGCAACAACAACGTCAACAACAACATTCACCCGCTCCTGGCCAGAAATTGCTGAGCGAAAAATCGGATTATTCGATATCCGTCTGAGACATTGGTAAGATCTGATCCCAGGATCAGGAGATGGGATGATGGTCCCAGGGCCCCAGATAGCCGGAGGACATTATCAATTGAGCAGCAGCCGCCGGGCCGTTTTTTGTACATTTTTGTAATGCATTTGTTACCTAATCTTGACCCCCAGACCCAATGCCCCGTAACCCAGTAACCCTACCCTCTGACACTGTGAAAACTTTCGGACAATCAGTATCAAAATTCTGCACAACCATCCATACCCGATAAAACCAAGCATACCGAAACACTTCCCATTATGAACTCCTGCCCGTATTTATAGAGCTCATACTATATCTAAGTATCAACGATTGTGCATGCTATATACAGGATATGTACTTATGCATATATATATAGTCGTATATGAATGGCATGTGTCCAGAGATGAGTCCCAGGTCATTGTCGGACTTCCAGAAATGTTGTGTGTACATATACTATGTAGCCTCCTAAGCATCCAAGTAATCACTACTCGAAACTGTAACTGTAACTCAACTACTAACTGCAAAACTATCTAGTATTCGGTATCAGATCGTATTCAAATCGAACTGTTTTTGTTTATCGTGTGCGGAATAGGTACTCCTAAAGTACCATCCATGTTTCGGTTCTCTATGGCAGTACGGAATTAAGGAAAAGTCTTGAAATTTCATAGCTACGAGTAGGGCCGATCAACTCAGATATATATGCTGTACAAATTTATATGAATGTATATTTAGATTTGTATGTGTGCGTGTCTACGTCATGTATATAGGACATAGGTATATACACCGGGATATATGCAATCGCAAGAGTACTCATGTAGTTGTTAGCGGATCGGCATCAATGCGGATCGGATCAAATAATTGTAAATAATCAAAAGCTAAACCCTCAAAAGGACTGACACACGGAAAGAATCAGAAGCAAAGCCACAATAAAATGTTAACTATATGTATTCAGTATATAGACACGCGGATCTAACAATTAGATAATACTCACACGACATGATATCGCCAGTATCCATGCAATTAGTGTTTCCATTACAGTAACAGTACAGTAACTGTCGTCATTCGTCGAGTTGTAGATAAATGTTTTTAAAATGCGATTTAAGCCCAGTCAGTAGAGGAATCAAATACACAAACAAGTCGTAATCAAATTTCGAAATATTACCAGTCACAGGACGACACACAGGAGGCAAACTCAATCAGATCAGATCGGAGGTGAGGAGCAGCAAGAACAAACTACAAATTAATATAACTCTTAGTTCGTATCGAATAATCCAATTAATACGAGTCATAGTTGTATTTTAAACTAGCCCAAAAAAGCATAAGCAAACACCCATTGAAACACTCGACATTAAGAGTCGAGCAGAGGAAGCAGAAGGAAGCATTTCGGAAACATTGTGCCAAAATTTGTTTTTAGATAATGAAAACCCCGTATGGAATTACGACTATACAATAAATAAGCGAAAGCCACGCAAAACCAGTTAATAGCAGACATAAATTATGAGCATACAAATTAGAGAGATTCCACAGCCACACGATATAAAGTCACACAGATTAAGGTGTTCACTTAACGGGAGGAAAATTTATGATTCGAGACTCTAGTCTCGGATCCCGGAGGATAACAATTCATTTCAAATCAAATAAGAACTAAGCACTCTTTGTTTATATAGCAATTGCAGCGATTTTAGTCGGTTTTTATATGCATTTATTTGTACGAAGCAATGAAATGGTTTATTACATTCAACATCGAATTTTACGAATTTATTGAAACAACAGAAAGTTGCGACTGGTGGGTGCATGCCTCATGCCCCACAGCTCATATGCAAAGTCTACAAATCAAAAGAGAAATTCAACTTACAATTAATAGATCACAATCAAAAAAAGATGAACAAATACTTATACGTGAGAGGGAATAATTTTTATGTTTAACATATAATTAGCACAACAACTACAAAGTAAAAACTATTAATGTAAAAACAATGGCATTTAAAAAAATATAAGAAATATTTAAAAATAATATAGATTTTTATTAATGGGAATGAATAATTTTTGGGGCAAGATGGTAAGTGTGGAAACTCCTTCCCTTTTATAAAGAAAACCCAATCCCAAGCTCAATAAAAACAACTCTTTTAAGTTTTTGTATTTTCATTTTTTATTCATTTTTTTTTTTGTATTTTTATATATGTTCATTCTTATAAGATATTAATACTTAATTTAGCCAGGATACTCACACGGAAATCCTTACGGGCAGAGCCAGGGGCAGAGCTCCGCTGCGTCGGGAATCGGTGTAGGACCTGGAACGAGAACGTCCATGGGAGCGACCCCGGGAGTGGCCACGAGAACGTCCTCGGGACCGGGATCGATCCCGCTTACGATCGTCGCGAATGTGTCGCCTGCTCCTCGAGGGCATCTCCTCCTGCCGCTGTACTGCGATCAGCTCACAATCGCTATTCCCCGAACCGGAGCTGGAAGAGGAGGAGCTAGAGTGATGACCATGTCTGGAGGTCTTGTGCCGGCGGCTTTTACCTCCTTCGGATCTGTGCTGCTTGGACTTGGACTTCTTGGAAGGAGATTCTTGCTGCTGCTGTTTCTGGAGCTGCTCCATGACGTCGCTCAGCATCTTTTGGGCCATCTGGGCCTTGCGAATTAGCTTCTCCAGCGGCGGGGAGGCCATGTCCTCCACCTCCACGGGTGTGGCACGTGGCAGCTGGCCGCGGCAACCTTGGCAGGCCTCGGGCATTGCGACTGCCGCAGTTTGCTCACGTTCCGCGTTATCTGGCTGCGACATTTCTGCACTAGTTTACACCTGACCCGATAAGAAATTCACTTGGCACCTTTTTCCAGGGGATTTTCTTTTATTACTCGTACTTCGGCTCTTGTAACTTTTACTCGACGGCTTACTGCTGCTTCTGTATCACTGGAATACTCAAATCGACTGGTTTCGGTGCTGCACCGATCCCGTGCTTTTATAGGAAATTTAGGCGCCAACCTTATCTCGAAATTCACATTTCAAATGTTTGCTTAAATACGATATCAGTTGCTTACGCTTCGGGTGAGGTAATCAGGCTATTTATAGATAATCGCTAGTATCACGTGTTTTCAAAATTATATAATTGCATTTTCAAACGTAACCTATAAATATTTCATAGATTCATGAAATTCGATTAAAGATATTAGATATTAATTTCTTGTTTTCTGTTGGGAATACAGGTAGGTTTGTAATATTTTGTATTACAATATTTGACCCTTTAGGGAAGTGAAATAAAATATTTTGAATAAAGTATGATGTCTTTGTTCTATTTATATACAAAATGATTTCATTATGTTGTGATATTTTGGATTATGGATTCCAATTCAAGCTTATAGTATTATTAACGATAAGGAAATTCCCATTAAATATTATGATATTAGGTAGTATATTTAAAATAATACAAATAAAAGTAGATGCAGATGCCTTTCATATATTAAGATGAAATCAATAAAATAACTTAAGTCTCAAATAATTTAAACGTTTGAATTTAAACTCAGTATAAGAACCAGTATAAGACTTGTCAGGTTGGTGTCTCTGCTAGAAAACTCCGCGAATCTGGTATATTTCTCTATGAGGTTTTCTGGTCCCTCTAAAGTATCTGGCTCTGTCATTATCCCTCAGATACAGTATGGTCAATCTGAAAGATGCAAAATCTATTTAAGCAACCGCCGCTCCCACAACAACAAAAAGATTGAGAGTGCGCTGCAGCGGCGCGCATAAAATCGAATCGAAGCCGTGTTTTTATTTCGGAATTGAAAACATTCAACGGTCAAAATATGGATATCCAATAACGCGTGCTCTTCAAGAAAATAGACTGTTATTTCTAAAAAGAAATAAAGGTGTCGAACATTCAAAAAAATTAACAAGTGAGTCCAGGGAGCACTTGGCTTTTCCTGCAAAGTGTTGTGGCGAACGGGTTTTCCAATCACAGCCTTAAGGCTAAAAACAAGGCTGAAAGCCCAATTCCAGCCAAAGCCTCCAACTGAAAATTAATCAATGTGTTGCAAGTTTTAATTCGCGGATCCACAATCGATTTTTCCTTTGAGCTCGGCTGCAAATAAACGCTGTTTGTGTGTGTGTGTTGGTGTGCGTCAGTGCGTGTGTGTGAGCGAGTCCTGGCAGGACCAGACCAATACAACTGAGCGGGCGTTTACCTAAGCGAAACGGCAACAAAAGGAGAGAAGCGGAAAGCGGCAGGACCTTCTCGTCCTTGATCACGTTTTCACCTTATCCTGTTTGCTCTCTTTCTCCAGCTGCCGCAGCTGTCTCGAATATATTCCGAGGAGTGTATGTCTGCGTGGATGAGAGAGTGACAATATCGCCCTCCCGGTTCGTCTTGTTTGTGCATTTAATTTGCACGAATTTCAAGCGGCACCAAAATTCGCATATTCCGTCCGCCAAAACGCCATCCATTTTGCACTCCCCCAGCGAGCGAGAGCAATAATAGAATTATCAGCCGCCAGCGAAAATTTTACAACAAAAAGTAGTACGAATCGAAAACGAAAAGAGAATGCCCTGGGAGGCCGCTAACCCGCGACCCTCTGACATTTCCATCATCGCCCACTGAAGGAGCTCTGCGAGAAAAAAAAATACAAAGCCAACAACAAAATAATATAAAATACAGAATAACAAACCGACAACCCGACAAACAAACAAACAAACGACCAGCGAACGAGCGAATCGACGACTCCAGCAGCCTCCTCAGCCGCTGGCACAGTTTTCCTCCTGCAACTCCAACTCTCTGTGGGTGAGTAGCTACAGTAGAGCCTGCTATGGAAAGAAAGGTCTCTAGCTATATGGTACTTAAAGGACACAAATAGAACTCCATTTTCTCTAAAGAACCTACAGAACCTATAGCTATTAATGATGTTAAATGTATTATATCGAAGGAATGGCTTTTGAAATAGTTCATGGTATTTTAAGATACTTTCCTTTTTTTAAATTTTTGTCTTTTATTTAAATACTCTTTTTTTTTATAAAAAATTCAGTATATCAGTATAGAAATAGCCCATATAAGTATCTCAAAGATTCTAAATCTATATTTAATAAATTCTAATGAAAAAAATATTAAAATCTTTTAAGTTCACTTAAAGTAAGCTCGTCTGTAACTCATTTGCGGGTAGAAAGCGGTTATCGAATATGAGCTGCGGCTTCAGTGGGTTTCTTTCCGATTGGTGAGGGGTTGGGGCCAGATGAGGGGCGGTGGGTCAGAGGTGGCACGGCTCATGTCTTGTGGCGTCGTGCGGCTTTAGTTTTTAGCTGAAATTAAAAAAGGTCAGGGCGAAGCGACCCGGGGCTTCTGTATTTTGTATCCTAGCCACGTCCTCCACGTCCGGATACCATCCGCTTCATTATGCACCGTTAATAGTGACTTTACATACTAGAGACTTCATATACGTATATGGTATATATAAGTTTGTTTGGCAAGAGTTGGATATATAATTTCAGTTGCATGACTTTGGCGATAATCGATTTTGAAGCGACGGAGCAATCAGGAAGAGTGCAATTTGATGCCAGTCCGTCAGTTCGTAAGTCAGTCAAGCTGTCAAGCACACTGCGAAAAAAAAAGTTATAGAAAATGCAGGTCAACATGACATGTTTCCGATTCTACTACTGATTACACTTTTTTGCATGCTATCTTTGAGAAGTAGGTTTATTTTGCATACATAATGCAGAGCTTACTTTCCAATTAAAAGTTTGAAATCAACCCATTCCCGGCCTGCTTAAAATTCATATTTCTCTTGATTTTTTCCCATGTACCCTCGGCCTGTTAAGTGGCGTTTACCATATTCATAAGCCCCGATTGCCGGACATTGCAACCGTTACCACGTAATGCGACAATTTGCTGTCAAATGGGGGAGTGGGGCCTCAAGTTGCAAGAAGGGAAGTCTTCCCAGTGACTTCGGGAAGAAGCTAATTAAGCTACAATTAATACAATTTCCGCTTCTTGTGGCTGCCGTGTGACGCATTCTGCTTTCGCTTATCGGACAGGCACTTTTCTATTCCACTAGAACCGCTTCTACCACTTTGCTTTCTGCCAGCAGATAACGAATGCATTTTCAATGAATTTTTTTCACGATAAGCGGCATATAAACGTCCGATTAGGTGGTCTCCTTCAATAACAATGGCTATAATTTATGATAAACTTGTTTCAAAGTGTGCGAATTTTAACGTCTCGCCGCCGATGAGAGCCTGTTTTTGTCGCAAAACTCGTCCAAAATTTGGTATCTCACTGCCAGCACATGTCTGGGTGGTTTTCAAGGTCAGATTTGCTTTCGGAAACCCTTGAAAATGAAATAAACGAGGGCAGGCCGTTCTGAATTCTGGCCACAGCCTCACTATCTCAACTTACCCCAGACAATAGACAGTCTGTTATTGCATTTCACGAGGGGGATTTTGGAAGGGTTTGGACTGGTTGGAGAATCGTTCCCCCGGAATGGAACTGGAACCTTGCCAAAGCTCTCGAGACACGCGTTGACAATGAGCGAGGCTCTCAGGCGAGACTTTTAGGCGTCTATGCCGCATCTGCCAGATGCTCTATATCTTTGTATCTGCCGGCCAACAAGGCACTGCAAAAAAATATCTATCTAGCAATTCCTGGAGTTGCTCTATCGATAAGCAACTTATCAATTCCCAAAGTTACAGATAAAAAGCTTGGCCTGTCATATCACCTAACAAAATGTTATTTTGGTAAATGGGAAAAGTATCCAAGAGATATCAGCCCTGAATTCCAATTACTTTTGATTAGAACTGGTAGAACCTTTTTTTCCGTGTTATTTAATTGCACTTGTATTTGGTTTTTGCCATTTGGATATTTTCGTTTTGGCTCGGCTTTATGGATCGCCCCCAGTCAAGCTCAACTCTAAGCGCGCCGGTCAATGGTCAAGACCACCATCCCCCTGACTGCCCCTGGTCCGTACTTTTCTGGCCAAGAGTGTCGTGTGGCTGTTGCCGCTGAAAAACTCCGCCGAGCGTGAAGTACACCACTCATTGTTTTTATTTTTACTTCTTTAGCTTTTTTTTTTTTTTGTGAGCCGCATTGGTATGAAAAGTATGTGTGTTATGGCATGTCGTAAAAAGCCATTTTCTTGATATCCAAACAGTTAAAAGCGCCATAGTTGCCATAGGCCAAAGCCCAGCGTTGGAAATCAAGACCCGGCCCGGCCCGACGCAGCCCGGCACTATCCCGACTTTCTCTGCCATATGACAAATAATTTTTAGTAGTTGGCGTAATTGCCGACGCAATGAGTTGTTAATTAACTTGGAGAGTTTCACGGAAAGAGAGCAGAGCCAGATGCTGGCAAAAGTGGGCAGGCGAAGTGCTAGTCACCGTTTGGATTCCGGTCCAATTCGGTTTCTACCGCCTGCTACCTCTGTGGACCAGGCCAACGAACGATTCCGCCCCCAAATGGTTTAGGCCAGATACAATAAAAATATGTCTCAAAAAATCTGTCTTCTGACTCATTAGTTTTGGCCAAGCCACAGGTATAGTCTGGTGGAAATTATATAATATATCATATATTTTAGAGTGCCTCACTTGAAACACCTACAATATTTCAAGTATTTGGTGTTGCCTAATGGAAGACTCCTCCAGAAAATGCAAAGCAAACTTTAGCGTGCCGTTGCCGTTGACTGAGAAGCCGCCAAAATGTGTTTATAGTTTACGGCATTGGCCAAAACCAAAAACAACAACACTGGCTGCTAAATCAACAATAACAACAACTTCAAAAAACGATCCAGTCGGCCGCTTCTTCCTGCTACACCGACTTTTATTGTTGCCCAATATCGTACGAGTATAGTGTCTGGTCCCGCCGAGTCCCGGGTCCCTGGTCCCGTTCCCCAAAAAGCCATATTCGTGACAGGCAGCTGGCACCGCAATACTCCCCCAACCACGCCCTCGTACTTCTTTGATAGACCCCCGAACAAATTGAAACTGTTTTGAAAACGGCAGGGGAAAAAACAGAAGAACGAAAACAGATCGGAGAAAAGCAAAGCCTCGAAGAAGTACTATAAAGTCGACGCGGGAATCGGCTAAAAATTAGAAAATCATGCTTACAATTTTCTGGCCCGGTTCTGTGTGCATAATGCGCGATAAGTCGGCAGGTGCAACATGGGGCAAGAACACCACAACAACATTGCCATCGAAGCCCAGATGGAGGGAAGAACCCGGAAGAGTTGGGAAGTCTTTCTTCCTCCCTCCCCCAGGCCACCCCCAGCTCCGGGGTCTCCTGGTTCTAGTCCGAAAAATAAACTAAAGCCACTGGGAAAAATATGACATAACTTTGATGAAGTGTTCGAAAAATAATATTAAAGTTTTTGAAAAGATTCTTATTCTTTCTAAAGCTTTTAGGTAACTAGATAATGTATGTTTAATAAATCCCTTGAAAATTATGTAAATATTTTGTTTTTTCGGTGTATAGTTTTCAATTTGATGTTCGTCCCCCAGACGCAAACAGTGCGCACAACTTGCAACTGCAACTCATTATAACTGCATCGGGGGATGTGGGGAGTGGGGGCATGCCACCAGGGGCTTGGCTGCTCGGCAGATGCGGGCCGCACAGCCAAAATAAGGGGAGGGGGGTGTGCCAGGGGGCAGCGACCGGGGGCAGCTCAATTGTAATTCGCGGCACAAATGTTTCACTTCATTTGAGTTTCGTGGATCGCTGGCAGCACAGGAAGTGCTTTGACAAACAACAACAACAAAAAAAGCAGTTTTCGGGGGAGTGGAGTTCTACCATTGGGGGCGTGGCAGTGCCCACGCTTGGCCAACTGTTGTCTCCACCTGTTCCGCGGACAGTAGAGTGTGTGTAGGGGGGGGGTCTCCATAACACTCGATGTCATATCAATTAACCGACGTCGGAATCAACTCTCTTCCCAAAAGGAAAGCCATATCAATTGAGTTATAGGATGCCATTGAAGGGGTTCTGCTAATCCCCTGCCCCGGGGCTATGGCACAAAATAAATTGCCTTAAATACACACACTCTGTGTGTGTGGCAATAAATTGCTTTCAATGCAACTGCTACAACAACGAGGGGAAATTTATGCAAGCGAATGTTTGTAGTTCCCCATTATGGGGATTGTTCGAAAAGTCTATCCAGAACATATGGAACGGAATCACTGACCAAGGAACTGCTCTCAGGGACAGTGCTATGCATAAGTGTAAGTGCAAAAGGCATTAATAATGTTTTAATTGCTGTCTATGGTGTCTATAGATACAATCCATATATCAAAGTCTATGGATAAGTGGCCTGGGAAGTCGGAATTTATTTTTATCTGACCTGATAGTAATGAACCGCACAGTTTATGTAAATGCAAGTCTGAATTGTCAAACAATGTGGTATCTATATATATATACACTGATTCGTATTCCCATAAACCCTTCCGTTTTTTTTTGAAAAAGTACAATTGAGATACAAATTGGCTGAGCCGAGCTCTTCCCAGAAAACGCTGCGGAATTCCTATGGTCAGCTGGTCGTCGGAAGATTCCGATTTAGTTTCTTTTTAGAGATTTAGAGGAAAAGGAGAGTTTCCCGACTACCTGCCGTCAGTTGCCTTAATCCAGCTTATCTTTATGATCCGTAAACTCTCTCCAAGATCAGACCCCTTTGTGTTCAATGAATGGCTGCTAATCCGAGATGAATGGAGGATGTCTGGAGTGTGCAAGGTGTGTGTCGAGGGACATTAAATGCATCTGCAATTAAAGCCGAACGAAGCGTTAAGCGCTGCACTTGTCGCACTTGCAACCGGCTTGTTGCCTGGCAACTTGCAACATTTGCCGCCACATCCCCTCCACATCTGCCACATTGAATGCGACTGCAATTAACTTGGCAGAGTCAGCGACATTGCGACGGTCTCTATTTTTGCTCGGCCAAGCGCCTTAATCGAATTAGTGAGTACTTGGTAATAGTAGTCGTAGTCTTCCCTCCGGAAAGGGTCCATTGATTGGAGTTAATGTGCCGTGACGACATAGCCCGGGGGAACTGGCATTATAATGTGGAACAGCTTTCGCCTTGAACTTTTCCCGACTATGGGCTTCGAAAAAAATCAAAATTATAAACTTATACTTTCAATATGGATAAGATTAGATTAAGTCAACAAACCATTAAGATAAGATTTTCTATCAAATGTATTGTTTAGTAAATGTGATACCTGGTGGCCTGATCATTTCGCTCAGTGCACATAGACAATGTCAGTTCCGGTTTATTCACTCAATTCCGCCAAACGCCTCGCCAGAGACACACTGACTTCAGACTTCGATAAGTCTGAGATGCGAAACGAGTTTCTTGTGGCATCGCTCGGCGAACTTGCATCTTTCACTGCCAGGGCCATGGCTTAGCGATCGATTCGTGGATTAGCGGCGACAACTTTATTCCCATATCCCATTCGCCAAACCCCAAGCCCCCAAGCCTCTTGCCCCATGTCCCCATTCTCATTCCCGACTCTCTGTCTGGGGCTTCGTTCCTATGTGTATCCAGCGGATACTTTGTACATCGACTGTTTATGGCTTCGCCTTGCCGCTTTTTCTATTTCGTTGCACCCTTCTGTGGGCAGGCCAGGCACTTAGAGTCGTCCCCATTGCCGCATCACCGCATCGTCGCGTCCTCAGTGCCTTCAAGTGGTCTTCATTAGGCGGCTGTCTTGTCTGGATGGTGAAACGAGCTTGGGTAGACAGCAACAGCCAGAGAACTTGCAACAGCAACAGCTCTTTAAAGTCAACTCGAGCATTGGCCGACTTGAGACAGCCTTAGCATATTGTAAACAAGGTCGTTTGCAGGATTCTCCGATTCTTGGTGGCCAAATCGGTCGGTGGGCGATGGTCGGCGGATGGATGGGACGGGAAATCCGGCCAAACCGGTTGCTAATAAACTTCCAATTTACTCAAATCTAGAGCAGCTTCATTACGGGCACCCTTCGCACTCGTCACTGGCATGATGAAATCGTTCAAACTTGGCCAAATCTCTGGGAGATCGCATAACAAACATGACGCTAATGACGTGTGTCTAACTACGACTCTGTAATGTGAAGCAAAACAAACCGTAAATATTATATATAGAAATGGTTAGGGTTTTCAGATACTGAATAGTTGATGCTCTTTTTATAGAAACATTTTCCCCAAATTATGACCATAGAAAGTTAGACCACATGCTCTGCCTGTTTAGATTTAAGCCACGTTAATTATGAATGCATTGCACACCTGTGACCTGGTCATATATAAATACGATATGAGTCTAACTAGATGATGGATGTGATAGAGTGCCAAATGCGAGGCAATCTTCTGGGCCAACAATGTGGCATACAAAATGGGATGCGAATTTGGAAAGTTCCGCAATGATGGCCCACAGCCGTCTCTGCCAGTTGGGTCAATGTGCCACACAAAGAGCCACAGTCACAATCACAACGCAGCACAGCAACTGCCACTCTGCCACATTCGAATCGTGTTATGTTGGCAACCTCAACTATTTCGCCGATGACGACCCCGCCAGACAATGCTCCTCATAATTTATTTACCACCAAAGACCCAGGCGACGGTGTCCCAGTTCATTTTGGACGACGGCAGGTGCCAACTGGTTGGCCTGGGCTGGCTTAGCGTGCTGCCTTCTCGCCTGTGAACTAGTTCAAGTCAATCACAAAGCCTTGGGGGCACCACCAATCCACTCGCCACACACAGTCCTGGTCATCGTCCATCTGTTTCTGTCCGGATTGTGGATTGCGTGACGGGCAACTTGACCGAAAAAATACAAGAGAATGCTATGCGAGAATCCTATTTTTGCATATTCGGGAAAAGGTCGCTAGCATGCAACTTGTTGGCATTGTTGCATGCCCCGTCCGAGCAAGCAATGGGAGCGCGGCGGGAAATGGGGATCGAAATGCCAGCATCCCAAAAATACGCAGTCCGAAAAGTGGGTCGCCCCCAAGTGAATCATGGCGGAGAAAGACAAATTAAATGTGATTCACTTCTTTTTTGAGGGAAACTTTTGAAAGAATTTTTATAGAATCCGAAGCTTACTGATCGACTAACTTGAAAATAGTTGCTAATATTAGTTACATTTATTTCCAGGGTGTTAGAGGTCATGTCCGCCACCCTCTTCGAGATGGCCACACCAGCAGATACGCAACCGGAGGAGGCACTGGCCTGTCTGGAGGTGGAGCAGCAGCTGATTGCGGGCATCGCCAGTCTGGAGTTGAGCGAGTCGGGAGTGACTGCCGGCAACTGCGATGGCAGTGACAGTGGCTTGGACGTGGCCAGCAGCTGCTGCCTCTCCCGGGTGACCTTGCAACGCGGACTTAGCAGCACTAGCGGGGGCTACACCAGCAGCAACGGCCTGGAGGAGATCTACGATAGCTGCGAACTGAAAATGGTCACCACGACGGCGGTGTCCCCGATAAACAACTCGCCCAGTGAGACGGGCAGCGAAAAGACCTCCTCTCCGCCACGGCGAACAAACGGCTCGGTCAAGAAAAAGGTGGCCATGTTCGAGCCGGAACAAAACACTCCTGCCAAGGATCAGCTACGCGGCAGGGTGGCGAACCTAAAGAGGGCAGAGAGCCTGCCCAGAAATAGTCTCGGGCCCAGCACGCCCTCGCAAGTAGCCCACAGAGACAGACCCCGTCTGTCCACTTCATCCTTTAGAGTGCCCAGCACCACGGCCACGCCCACGTCCTCGGCTCGCATGGCACGCCCTCAGAAACCGGACACTCTGCCTAACGCCCTCAATAGAGCGCAGTCGGTGCAGCGACTCACCCAAGTGCAAAGGACTCCGTCACTCAGTCGTGCCAGGACCCCGGGCACACCCTCCGACGACGGTCGCTGGCCGGCCAATCGGGGAGCAGCTCGCCGGGGCATGTCAGTGACCCCGGAAGTGGTCCCAAATCGAATGCGTGGTAGTCCGGCTCCGGGTGGCACTCTGCCGCGTCGCCGCAAGCAGCAATCGGTGGAGGACCTCACCGCTGGACGGCTCTCCAGGAGCAACTCTATCAGCCGTGCTGCTGCAGCTGCAGATGCCCGCATGATCTCTTCGGTGATGGTTGTGCCGACAAGTAGGAGGAGCCTGGCCGGAGCCACAGCCAAGGTGAATTCCCTCAGAAGGCCTCAGACGGCAGCTGCTGGAACGACGCCGAGGACCCGAATCTACCATGAGACGGCTGTGCAAACTGCGCTGACCAGCGAGGACTTGGAGCAAGTCCTGGGCGGAGGCCTTCTTCAGACCCGGGCACTGGATGCCGTGGAGCAGCAGGATCGCAGCACGCAGGCGGAGCCGGATCAGAGGGACTTCGAACTGGAGCAGCTGCGTCAGGAAGTCCGACAGCTAAGCGGGAAGCTGCAGCGGGAGCGGGAGGAGAAGCTGGCCATGCAGCAGGAGCTGCACCTCAATACGGAGCGGGTGATGGGCATGTTGGAACTGGCACGAGTGGTCAGCGCCAGTGCCGGAACCCCCACCTCTGAAGACAGTGGCGACGGGAGCGCTGGGCATGACAGTCTCCTCATGCTGGAGTCCCAGATCCAGATGAGTGGCCACGAGCTCTTTGAGAGGCAGCAGGAGATCGGCCAGTTGAGGGCCATGTGCCGAGCCCTGCAGCTGGAGATGCGCCGTTCCCTGGCTACTCAGCAGCTCCTGCTTCAGGAAAAGGCGGCCATCGAGCAGGAGTCCAGCGAGCTGCAGGATTTCCTGCAGCACGAGAAAGCGGCTCAAGTGGAGGCTCTGCGGGAACTGGAGGCCGAGCACCAAGCGGTGAGGTCCCAACTAGCCAACCGCGAGGAGGAGGCCAAGGTCCTGCGGGACGAGTGCCGCCATCTCGTCCGCCTGAACGAGCAACGCCGTCAGGAGAACCGTCTGCTGCAGACCAAGTACACGGCTCTGGAGAACAAGTCCAGGGAGCTGATCCACCAGCAGAACGCGTCCGTGGCTGGCGCCTCCACAGCCTTATCTGGATTGCATGCCCGACTGGACGGACTCGTGGAGCAACTGGTCTACTCGTACAGTATTTCCGAGCAGGACTTGGAGGTGTGTTCATTTTCCAACTAAAGATTTTTTCCATTACTGAAATATTCGTTTTTTAGGACATTCGCTTCCAGGCGGAGTCGGAGCAGGTGCAGAATGGCCAGCGTCCCAATGGCCTGGATCTGCCCATATGTCCTGCCGGCCAAGGCGATGCCATACACACTCTCGTCCTGGCCAGTGACGGGTCCCTATCGCCGCAGCGCAACCAATCATTCATAGCCGCCGTCATCGGTGCCATCCGCCAGGCCACCACTCACTCCGGGAAGAGACTGTCCCTGCGTCAAGGAGCATCCAAGCGGAGTGGAGGAGGCTCCGTTCAGACGACGGGTACAGCGACTGGTACTCAGGAGACACAAGGCAATGGTGGTATGATAGCTGAAACCCTTCCTGAAGCCCATTGATTCTAAGCCCTTTTCATGAATCCCTTTAGATGACTCGGACTCCACGGAAATGCTGGACTCGGAGACGGAGCCCTGCCTGCTGATGATGGACAACGTGCTGGAGGATGTGGTGCACCCAGACTCGCACTCCCACAACATGGTGTCCTCCTGCACCGGCATGATCTCCCAAATCGAGCTGCCCACGGAACTGGTCAGTCAATGCAGCCACCAGAATCACAATGGAGTGGTTCCAGCAGACGACTCCCTGCAGCAGCTCTCCCAGGCCATCACGAATCGCCAGCAGATGGAGCTGCATATGCACAAGCTCAGTGCAATGCCTATGAAGTAAGGAAACCTAATAGATCCTTTCCGGAATAAAATTTTACCTCCTAAATTTGTATCATCCGTGCAGTCCTCGCGATCAGTGCAACACAGAGGAGCTGAGTTGCCACGACTCGCTGGCGGAGCTGCCTTCCCTGATGGAGTACAGCACTGCCCAGGCAGTGGTGGACCAAGTGATCGAGGTAGACACCTTGGTGACCAAACTGCTCAAGGTCCTGCGACTTGTACAGCTGGACAACGACAATTGCATCCAGCAATTGATTGTGGACAAGTGAGTTTCAATGAAGGATATCCCAACTATTTATATTAATGAACCCCCTAATTTCTATTAGAAACAAACTGCAGCAGCACAAGGAGGACATGCTGGAGAAACTAAAAGACTTGGAGGATGTAAACCTAAAGCTGCAGGACGAGCTGATGGACGCCACCCAGGAGCTGATGATCAAGGGCAGCGACCTCAGCGGGGCCAAGGCGGAGATGCAGCGACACCGCAACGAGATCGACGTAAGGTTTTAGACTTGGACTTTTCTGTTGCGCATCCTTCGAAGACATTTCTTATATCGTTACCATACGTTGTACTCCAATCTTGATTTCATTTAGTTTAGTTGTAGTTCTTAATTTGAAATAAATTACTTTGCCTATTTACGTTTTGAGTTGTTTCCGTAGTCGAGTAGCTCTCGTTCGATATAATTTGATTCATCATCTCTCAACTATTCAATCATTCAATCATTCGATCTCATCGTCATGCATCTCGATGGTACTTCAGTCACCAATCAAGTTCAAAAGCGCACTCTTTCGTTTAAAATGATGCACCAAAACTAATTGCCACGCCACTGCTTTTCCCCGCCGAACTCCTACCCCTCCATCCTTAATCCCCGCCAGCGTTTGAACGAGGACATCTGCACCCTGAGCACCCTGTGCAGCAGCTACAAAAAGCTATCGCCCACCACGGAGTTCCCACCCATGCGACTGCTCTCTCCCACCCAGGATTCGGAGCAGGGCGATGTCCTGGGGATACTAAACCTGCTGAAAATGTGGCAGGCAGGCGGGCAGCTTCAGGATCCGCGAGTCAGTGGATATCTGCAGATTCTGAATGGCAGTCAGGTTGGGATAATCCAAGTACAGTATTAAAACAGTTAGTCACGATCTTTATCCTTAGATCTCGACTCCCAAACAGGATAACAATAACGAAGAACGCCTCAGGATCTACGCCAATCAGCTGGAGCACGTGTCGCGCGTCCTGCAGGATGGCCTGCCTACGGATGTGTCCCCCTCCCTGCAGCAGCTGCGGCAGGACATGGAAGTCGTCCGCAGGAACGCCAGCTGGATACAGTTACTCGAATCAAACGAAAAGGACCACAATGCCAACGGCGATGTGTCCACGCCTTGAATTGTGTCAAAATTGTTGTTAATTCTCTAGTTAACTATTAGAAATTGTGCGTTGTTTTACATTTACGTAGTTAGTCACAAATGTTTGCGTCCAATTCTGAAGTTGTAGATGTTTTAACCGCGTCCAAAGTAACAGAAATGTTTGTAGTTAAGTCATGGCCATATTTTGGATGATCCTTGAACACCCTCATGTCCTTTAAATCGAACAAACTGAAATGCGAAGGAATATAAGTCTTAAAGCCTAACGCGCATCGCTTTTCATAGTTTTCATAGCATACTTTTCGCCTGATTTTATTTTCCTGCAGCCCTGGTCTAAAAAGTATTATAGATGTTCTCTTAAAACTAAGTTTAAATGTGTTTCGCAGTTCTTTAAAATTGAAAATTCTTAGTAAATATTGCCAATTAATAATTAAATTAGAAAATATTTAGCTTTCTGAGTAGAAAAGCGAACATTTGCTTATGAGAAAACGCCGAATATCCTGCGAGATACGGCTAGCCTCAAAATAGGAATTCCTTGCCGCATTGCCAAAAATATGATTGCCGGAGGATAGGGACTTATCTAGGTCCTTTGTACTGAGAAAAAAACTAAAGCATTCGATTTCGAAAGCAGCTGTTTGTTTATTACACGTACAATAAATAAGGATAAACTAAATATATATGTATAAAATCAACTATAAATGAAAAACACAATTTCGCAAAATTTTTGAAATCCCTTGAAACGGTAAGTACATACTAGATAAGTCTATGGGCGTAGGCATAGTTTGTATATATGTATTTAAAGAATAGTATATATTATATAATGGTATATATATATATATATATAGACAGCCAAGTCCTTTGCTCGCCGCTCGTTTTTTGTCTTTTGTGTGTTGAAGTTGCTGTTGCTCTGTCTTTACATTTACAAATAATCTCACAATGGGGGGACGTTCTCCGTGGGTGGGGGATGGGTAGACGGATGTCCTAGAAGGAGGGCTTGCTGCTGCCCATGCTACGCGCCGGCAGGCTGTTCGTCTTGGCCGTCGGATTGTCGCGGGCCTGCGAGTGCGCCACCACGATGCTGAGGCACTGCACCCACTCCTCGGCGTTCTTGCCGTCCTTGGGCTTGAGTATTAGGGTCTGGTCGGCGGTGAAGATCTCAAAGGCCTTGGGGATGTTGCGGGCACCCCGCGACACCTTTACCGAACGGATCTGGTTGACGTCGATGCTCTCGCCACCACTCTGTTGGGGATTAAAGGATTAGCTTCTGATAGCTTAAGGCCATATATCTTTAGTCTACTCACCGAACCCTTGCACGACAAGTGGGCGCCGGAGAGGGTGAAGTAGCGGGTACGCCAGCGCCGGAAGAGCCGCCACTTGCCCTTCTTCTCCTTCAGCTGGCCCTCGATCATGGGCTGGTTGCTGCCGTTCAGGAAGCCCACCGCCTTGTCCGGATGGTTGCACAGGAAACAGCCCCACTGATACTCCAGCTCGTTGCAGTTCGGGTTGGACTTGTCGGTCTTTGAGACCTCGAAGACGTCCAGGAAGCCCGAGTGCCGTAGCTCGTTCACCAGAATCTCGCGGTCCTAAAAGGAGGGTATTCAAATTATTAAATATTAAATAATATAATAATAATATAAAATAATATAATAATAATATTATTGAAAAGACAAATTTTTTCAAAAATTAAACATTTTCTTTAAAAAAATGAGTTTTTGGTCCCTATGAAGAACTATATCTTTAAGAGTATGCATCCGATTTCTCTGAGGTATACACCAAAAACCTTGTAGAAAGATTATCTTTCTGTGTCATAATCTAGAAAATTAATTTTTGATAGATTTTTGGCAGTTTTTATGATGTTATCCCTTTAAAAATTTTCAAAAGATGGGACAAATTTTAAATTCCTATATTTTTCTAGGCAAAGTACTATTGAAAAATACAACTTTTTCTGAGATTGAAATGATATAACATTCTTGGATCGACCACAAAATAACTGAAATTTTTCGAAAATAAAAAAAGGACAACCGTAATGAATAATATGAACTTTTGGTTCCTACTAAATCCAATATTTCACAAAAAGTACACATCCGATTTCTTTAGGGTACACATCGAAATACTCCTGGTAAAAATATCTTTATTTCTGTATCAAAATCTAAAAAATTAATTTTTGATCGATTTTTGACAATTTTTGTGATTTTACACCTTTCAAAATTTAAAAAAAATCGAAAAAATGATACATGCCCAGATTTTGGTAAAAAAAGTAATATTTTAAAATATTAATTGTGCTGAGATCAGGACTGTATAACTTTTTCCGGTAGGTCCCCAAAAAAACTGAGTTATGATCATCGGAAGCTAAAAACTTTCCATAAATATCCTTTGGCGAAGTCTATAAGAACAATAGTACACTATGAACCTACCTTGACCTGTGGAAATTGGCTGGTGACCAGTTCGGTGAAGCTGCGGTTCTCGCACTTGAGTATCTGCCAGATGTTCTTGAGATTACTGATGCCGGACTCCCGCGTGCTCAGCACGCACTTTTCCTTGACCTAAAACCAGAAAAGTTAATATAAGAGGATGCCGGCAGAATCTCCACTGCTAAAACTTACAAAATGCCGCACTTGAAAGTCCAGGAACATCATATGTATCCAGGTCTTGGGATTGCGAGTCCGCATCGTGAAACAAGTTTTCGAGTAGAGGCAGTGTGGTCCTCGGATCTGGCAGGCAAAGTGCAGTTTGGCCACCTTCTTGGTTCTGCGCTCTGCAAATTCATTGGAAACTGTGTGTGTGATGTGTGTGTGTGTGTGGTGTGGCGATAGTGTGCGATGCAAGTTTAGATAGAAAACGGGAAAGGACCCACAAGGACTTACCCTCAATGCTGCAACGTGTGGGCGGTGGCAGGTGCTGCGACACCTCGTCCATGTAGGACTTGATGGAGTTGAAGTTCTTTTCGCAGAACTGCTGGACAGGATCCCGCATAATCTGGTATGGCTCAAAGGTGCTCATCCGCTGGTCCATCACGCTGTTGGCGTTAAGAAGAGTGCGGCTGGTGTTGTCGCTGCGCCGTGGCGCCACATTAGTGGTGGGTCCAGAGACAATTACTTCGCTCTGAAAGGAAAAAAATTTATTTCCTTTCAAAAGTAAGAAGGACGATTAATCCTTACGTTTCCATTGATGGGCAGCTTCATCACGGACTTGGCGTTTCCGTTGGTAGAAGACTGTGGCAGAGCCGGGGAGGCATGGTGCACAGACACGGCGTTCTGGGTGGCTGCCGCCTGCGTGGAGGCCCCCGATGATGCCGCAGCCTGTTGCGGAATGGAGATCGAGCCCACCGACTGGTTCAGGGCATCTGTGCTGTACTTCATCATGACCGTACTCGAGTTGAGAAGCGTCGAGGGTCCTTGCGAGTGGGGTCGGACCTTTGAGGGCGACGTGGTGACCGTCACTCCGCCGGAAGTCACGGGTATTCCGTGCCGGTTGTGCCCCGTGATGACCACGTTGTTGCTCAATGGAGGCACTGGTGTCACTGGCGGGTTGGTGAAGGTGGCCGGCGACTTGGAGGTGGCTCCTGTCTGCACCACCACGTTGCCGTTGGAGCTGCCGCCTGGCTGCTGATTGATCTGCGAATTGCTCAGCCGGGTCATGCTCTTGTGGAGGCCTCCCACCGACCCGCTGGCCACATTCAGCCGGGTCACACTCCGGTGAGTGTTGCTGGCGGGATGCAGCCGACCCGTACTCCTGGAGTCACCCAGTTTTACCCGTCGGGTGTATCCTGTGTGCTGAGGAGTGGGTGTGGCAGTGGCCACCGGGGTGGAGGCGGCCACGGGGGCGGCGTGGGCAGATGTTGAGGGCGTGGCCTGTTGTATAACAGTCGTGTTGGTGGACGGAGTCGGTAAGGGAGCTAAAACAGAGTAGTTTTTAATATGTCCTTTCCAGATTTCCTACTATCCCTTACCTGGCTTGATTTGGGGACTGGGACTGGAGCTATTCAGGCTGACAATAGTCACTCCACCGGAGGTTTTGTTGCCCAGTGCGTTTCCCACATCCTGCTGGGAGCTCAACGCGGCGTTCTTCTGCCGGACACAGGCCAGGACCTTATCCGTGAAGAGAACCGGATAAGCGGAGCACAGACGTGTGGCCTCCTGCTGGAGTAGAGCTTGGGTGGGCAAGTGTTCCAGCACAAAGTCCAACGCCTGCTGGGCCGTCTCCTTGCCTCCGATGCCCGCCGTCGTCATAATCTGGGCGCAGAGAGGGATCGTGCTCGGATTCGTCTTGGCCGCCAGCCGCAGCTGCTCGAAGTGATCGACAAGGAGCTGGGGCGAGTGCTGGGACAGTTTCAGCAGTATCTGCAAGGTGGTGCTAGCTGTGTCGCTGTCCAGAAGAAAGCCACACAGCTGTGGTACACAGTCTGCTAGAACCTCTGGCGACTGCTGGACAATCAGAAGATACAGCTGGAAGACGGCCATGCGCTCCTGGGAGTCACACTGTGGTAGCAGGGGCATCAGCAGCGGGGCATGGGGCGTCACAGCTTCCGGGGCCACCTCGTAAACCTGGGAGAGCACCCGCAGTAGTCCATAGTTGCCGGAGAGGATGGATTCCATCACGGCTTCCGTATGCGGACTCAGGAGGCAGGCATGATCGATGGCAGCCAGCGAAAGGTAGCTGGCCAGGTTTCGGGAAAGCTCCCGGTTCCCCTTCGATAGAAACTGCACGGCCACGGGCAGAGCAATTTTCATCAGTTCCTTCTTGTCATAGTTCTGTGGAATAATACCTTTAAGTATATACCATTACTGACCAATGTAATTTTTTCTTACCAGAAAAATACTCGAGATTATGTCGGCGGCTATCTTGGCATGGGGTGGCTCTTCTTTTGTGGAGGCCGATGGCTGGAGGTTCCACAGCAGGCAGGTCTTTAGGAGATCCACAAGGGCGGCGCAGTAGCGCTCCGCAGTCTTGGTCTCCCGGATGCACGACAGCACCCGGGTCACACAAATCTCCACCACACTCTGGTCATTGTTGTTCTTAACGTAGTCCACATGCGAGATGATCGGACTGATCTCGGAGAGCTTTAATTGAGATAAGTTAATAGGAATCTTTCAGGGATTTGTTGAGTCTAGTAACTTACCACCTCCGTGATATCGTCGACTATGTCCGCATCGGGCACGGAGAACAGATCTCCGGCTTTGGAGAGATCGCGCTTGGCGAGGACCTTGTTGAAAAGTACGTGCATGGCGGAGGAGACTCCCAATCAGGGCTGATCAAATTGCATCATCTGTGGCAACTGAAAAACAAAATTTAAAAATTCAGTAATATTTTCAGCACATACCACAGCCTAGTCGGCTTCTTGTTTATTTTAGTCACTGCATTTTTCAGTGCCATGTTTGGATTTGGCCCATTGCCAAAGTTTAGGCGCCTCTGGCAGCCACTTTTTATCTTATCGCCCCGGCACTTGCTCCTCCATAGCCCCCAAAACAGCTAGCAGCTCCAGAGTGCGAGCAGCATTCTATTCTATTTGCGAAAAGTGCATATATAATTTTAGAGAATAAATATAGATACCAAATACTTGTTGCATCGCCACGATTCTTATCTTAGACACTTTCGCACTCGCTGCGAATGCCCCTGCCCGGAGTCTCACTATACGACAGTATCCTATAGAAGTTAATTGGGTTTTGTGATAGGGGAAATCTAGGCGAATTATGATTTGCAATATTGCCGGGCCATATCTTTATGGGTCGAAGAGTATCTTTATTGAACTTCGAGTGGGAGAAGAGGTGCACGTTTCGTTTGTTTACTCAAGTGAATTTATCGCCGAATCTGCACCAAGGCAGTTCCAAGAATTCCGTTCTCTGTTCTATGTTCTCTTTACTCCGTGGGGTTTCCCGGCAAAACACTGTTTGCCTACTTGCACTTGCTGCCCGTGATGGCCGTGTAATTGTTTGGGCCGAACCACCAACTTATCCGCCGTGGAATGCCGACTTTTGATTAGATGGACAAAATTCCGGCAGGGGATTAGCCGCGACTTGGCGGATAACCCGGGGATTTGCTGGCTGGCCGAATGAGTGGGCGATGAAAAGCTGGCAGAAAAGTCACTTCTTGTCGCGGAAGCGGACACTGACGCCAACGCCAACGCCCGGGTTGGGTTATTAAATTTTCAAATAAAAACCGAAAACCAAAAACCAAAACCGATCCGGGAGTTGCATAATCCATAGAGAGGCCAGTCAGTCAGGCAGGCTGGCAGGCAGGCAGGCAAAGAGCTCTCTGCACGCGAATTGCAGACGGTTTTTGGTATGGGCCTCGGGACCGACTGAAAGACTAAAAGACTGACGGACCGCCGGACGGACGGGACAGACATTTGCTTCCTGGAAACCGGGACAGCGACTGCTGCGGACTTCGAGACTCTGAGATAGAGCTACGTTGTGGTTGTTGTTATTTATGGCTCATTCGCGCTCAGGTTGCAGCACCAACAACAAACAGAAAAACTGGTTAAAAAATAAATAAAGAAGCAGCAACAAGTCGCAGCCACAGCAGCAGCAGCAGCAACATCAGCAGCAGCAACAGCAACAGCAACAGCAGTACAAGCAGCAACTTTGAGCGCCCGAGAGAAAATTAAAAGAGAAATAGAAACACACATATGTACGGGTAGGACGGGTATAAGTAATGGATGATGGCGTTGGCTAAAACATAAACCGAAACCGGTGCGGCAGGTTAATACACACGAAGCCCCAAGCCCATGATCGGAAGGGGGGAGGCAGGGGGGAGCGCCGGACTACATAGCGGTGAGGGGGGTGGGAGGCTCCGGTTAGGGACAGGGGCCCACCGGTGGTCTCCGAGATTTCGGAGACAGACTGGAAACAAAGGCTGTGCCAAAATACCTCGAGGCCCCATAATTCTTCGCTTAGATTATATTTCTATATTTGCATTGGGCCCATCGAAATGGCAGAGTTCATAAACTGGATAACAATCGGCCATCAGATTATATTTTATTTTCTATAAAAATTAATAGGAAACCTAATTTGTGAATTGTTATTATAGAACAACATACATATAGCCTCCCATTCACTTCTTTAAGTTCGAAGACCGTATAGACCTTTTACTTTAATGATGTTACCATTTTCTTAATTTTGCAAAAAGTCTATACAGCTTGCTGGTTTCTTTAAGCCATCTTTGATTAGCCAGAAAGGTGTAAAGATTATTTATGACTATTTATGACTGTATGAGAAATGAGTCAGTTCTGCATTAGATCTCAGAGATCTGTAGTATGAGTAACACTACCAGCTAGCCAGGGCCGGTCTAGGCGGCCAAGTAGCAAGGCCTAGCCTCCACGATCATCTCCTTGTAGGGAGTTTCCGCGAATCCATGCCCAGGTTGGATCACATAACCGTCAACACTGGACGTATACGTACTCTGCGATCTGAGACACGAGCATTCCGTGGCAAGTGTTTGGTTCTTGTTTGTGCATTCCATTTTCATACCTGGCCGATGAGCCCGGAGGAGCGTCAAGTGTCTCGCAAGCCTGCCTCTGGGTACTGGATACTATGAACTAAACACTGAGTACTGAGTACTGGGTAGTGGCAACTTGCAACCACAATTACTAGTCGGTCCAAAGTCTGCCCCCGGGCGGATGGTGGTGAGTGGCTTTTGGGCGGCAGAACACGACTGGTATTAGACCAACTGGGAAAACTCGTTTTTCCGAGCAATCTGTTTGGCAAAACCTACGCATGCGCAGACGACAGTCATCAGCAGATCTGGGTGGGATCGCACAGTTTGATAATATATTTGTCTGGGTTCAAAAATCTGGGTTGCCGATGTCATTCGTAATTATTGGTTATTGTGTGTGAAGGGTGGGGACTTTAGGTGATGTCGTGGGAATGGATTTAAGATCCAGTCTTAGTTCGCAGGTAAGCTTTTTGGCTAAAAGGCTCCCTCCTCTGAAAACCAAAAACTACCTACTTGGACAACTTTGGGTCTAAAAGTTCCCCGGGTTTTTGGAGGTGGAGGGGAACTGCGAAAAGTAAAGACAACATCAACACGGTAATCCGATCCAGAGGCGGAGTGGAGTGTGTTTTAATCGGGAGGGTAGGGAGGAGGATTGGGGCTTCGGGCTGAAAAATGAGCGGCGCGTGAAACTTATTAATGAAAAGGCCGCGAATTAGCACAACAACAAGGAGAACCAATACACAATCACATTATTTGGCACTTCCAAAAAAGGTATACATATAAGCTATAGCTTAGCTCCCTGATCTATTTGGATTATGGATACCTGGCCGCGATTAAGCGATTAGGGGGGGAGCACTCACCGAATTGCATCTGCGACTGTTGCGGGCGGACAGCTGGTCATATCAGTATCACTAGCCCTGCATCTGCATCTGGAACTGGTCGAAGTCGGAATCGGAATCGGAGTTATACCCCGATCTCTGGCTCTCTTTTTTTTTGTCTGGGTTTCCTGCTCTCTCTCTACCTCTCTCTCTCTTGATCTCACACAACAAAATTTACAAAAAAAGGCACGAAAAAGGTAGACAAGGTAGATTGTTGGTGTTTTTGTTGTTGCTTTTGGCCAAGTCAGCCGCAACCGTGGTTGGTTTTTTGTATATATTTTTTTTTATTTTTTTTATTGTTGCCACTGCTGCTTTGGGTGTAGTTCAATATTAATTTAAATGTTGGTGCTGCCGCAGCTACTGCTGTTGCCGATAAAGCACAAAATTCGGAATCGTTGTTGGCGTTATTTATTTTTTACGGCCGGGCTTTGTTGCCGCGCCAGCGCATTGCTTTTTATGCAAATTATCGCATTTCTCGTGTATATATTTTAAATTATTTTTCCCCCCTACTTGTTTTAATACATTTTAATTTGTTTTGTGTGTGTGTTTTTTTTTTTTTTTTTTTTATTCTACCGTATGCCGTATGTGAGCTGCCGTTAACCGTTGTTTTTAGCCACAATGCCTGGTGTATTCCACTATGCCTGATTTCTTTGTATTTTTGCTAATCACATTTTGTTAACACACACACACACGCACACACACATAGACGAAGGCTGGCGGCGCACGCACACTTCGATCGGCTAGAGAGCGTTGGGCGGGGGGCAGCGGGGGCGTGGCCGCAGGAATGGAGCAGACAGAGCGCTGGCCAAGCGATTTCATTTGGGCCCGAACGAAGACTGACGACCGAGTCACTCGGAGCGGAATGGCAAAGCCAATTGTCAGACTGGCTGACACCGACTCTGGTTGTTGTTGTTGTGTTGCTGCCTGTTTGTTTTGCACGATCGCTCTCCGTCTCTCACCGTAGACCGTTCTCAGTGCTCTCAGGCGGGCCAACTGGCTCTCGGGCTCTCCCACAGGTTACCTTTCGCCAAGGGAGTACCTGTGATACCTCTGGCTATGGCAGGTGTAAGGGCTGTATGGACTTTCCAAGAAGCAGGCAACTGGCTAAGAAACAAGAACTACAGGGTACCGACTACTAAGAGATTCTTTGGATAATCTTCCTCAAAAATCCATTCATATCCTTTTACAGGGTACCACCCCATTCGACCCCTCGCCGCTAGCCCAGTTTGCTGCTCTTTTGGCTTACACGGGTTTATCGCCGCTTTGCTTTTGCGCCTTTCATTCATAAACAAAAAACGCAGAACCCATTGTAGTTGTTGTTGTTGCCTCTGCCCCGCTCTCTTTGTACCTTTCCTGATACGGCGCTCTTCTTCTTCAGCTCCACCTGTTGCGCCGCTTAGGCCCTGGCAACATGTTGCTACCGGCATTCCCCCCCATTTGGTGATGCAACATTGCTGCCAGCCGAGCACTTGAAATGTTTCCAGCGGTGGCTATTGGTTGCGGAAGCATTTAAATCAATCCGACTTAAATCACGAAGATTCGTGGCTAATTTTCGAAAGCTCCCCGATGGCAGGTAACTCATGAACTGCGTCTTAGGCGGCCGACAATCGTAGCTTCAAGGTCGTTGCCATCCACTAGGTGTGCCATTGAGTGGCTTTTGGCTTTCTTCCGCTCGACATTGAACCCTGGCCGGCAAACACACTCGAGCACACGAACAGCCATTAACGGGATGTCGCTAAAAAGCGTGCAGCTCCTCGGCCACTTCACCCACTTCCTATGTGTGCCCAGCAAACAATCGCAGATGCAACACCTCAGCTTGGGTCATCAGCTTGTTTTTTTAGTACAACAGATTTACATACAAATTTTATTCCGCATAAAAGATAATATTAAAGTTTATAGATTATAGTCTCTAGCTTGTTTTAAGATCGATGATTGGGGCCTTAAGCGTACTTGGCCACGAGGCCCTCCACGAAGGCGATGTACTCCGTCTGGGCGGCTTCGCTGCTCTTGCCCTTCTGCTTGTTCCAGGCCTCCCACTTGGCCTTGCCCTTCAGGTCGAGGAGGCCGGGCTTGGGGGTGTTGTTGTCGCCCACGGTGCCCTGCTTGAAGAGGGCGTACAGCTCCAGGAACTCGTCATCGCTGGGGCGCTTGGTCAGGGACTTGACCTTCTCGGCGGCGGCGTTGAATTGCTGGATAGAAAAAAAATATTATATTAGTTACTTTATTAATAAATATTGGATCATTATTAAGAATTTTTATTAGGAAATCTGAACCTTGGAGTTCCATCTTATCTTTAAGTGAAGATGTTTACTTTCAAGAACTAAAAATATTCTATGAATTGATTTATACTCTACACTCAGAATTTTCCAAGTGCTGAATCGAACAGATGATTAGCTAGAAACCTTATCACGCAGCCAAGTTTAGCTGCAAACATGGTCAGGCGATTAGTGGAGGATTGTTCGGGGGAAGCACTTACCTCGGACATTGTGGGCTAGATTTTTATCTGCAAGTGGAATAGTAAAAAAGTAAAAATTAGTCTTATTTATAAACCGCTTAGTTTTATGTTTATGATCATAATTGCCCGATCGCCAAAACCAGTTCCCGGCCACTCGTGTGCCAAAGTAAACTACTTGACCCAGGTGCCGACTCTCGACCTTTGGCCTCATGGGCCGATCTAGTCTCGAAGAACTTTGCTAATGTTTGACGAGCTACGCACACGTCCGACTTTCACCCGTCGAGAGCCGCCGACATCATGACAACATAACTGAAACTAATGTTTCGGAAGCAGAGGTAGCAACAAGCAGAAGACGCAAATATTTATCTCGAGTCCGAGGGTCTGGCATTTGGTAAGAAATTGGAGGGAGCGGGCCACCGTTAGAAGCCGCTTTTGGCCGGCAAATTTTTTTTTTTACAAATTTGGACACGGGTGTGGGTCTTTGTACGTGTTGTGCACTGCGCAAAATACCTTCCCCAAATGGAAATGCAAATTTAAAGCTTGACGGGCTCGGCGACAGACACTCGTCAGTATTTTTATGGGGGAGGCAAATGGCACTGTAAAAGTCCAGCTTCTAATTTAAGCTGGTGACTCTAGCTAGTGACTAAAACCGGAACAAAGTACTCTTTTAAAATGTGACAGTTGATGTGGCTAATCACTGCCAATCTTCCTATTTATCCAATGGTATTGGCCACAAAATTAATTGCTTGGTAGAATTCCATAATTGAGTGGCGCAGGTGCCGAATTCGCACACCTTACGTGTACCTACTATCTAAATGAGTTCTTTTTATGTGTCACAACCACCATTAGTGGGCACTGATAGGTGAGCGTCGGGCAATTGAATTGAATTACTCGGGACGGCAGACCCCTCGGAATGGACAATTGGAGCTTGGCACTTACTGTCGTGTTGGCGGGCACAGAACTAAACACTGTCTGAATTCCAAACCCGCTTTGACTTTCAATTTAAGTCTTTCCACATCGCGCGATCGCCCCCGGAGAGAGCCCCGAGAGCCAGAGAGACCAGTGAAGCTCCTCCGGATTCTCTGGGGATCTCTCTGGAGCAACAGCTTTTGCTGGAGTGGGTCGGGCAATCGGCAATGTCGGGGAGGTGGAAGTGGAGGCGGTTCTGGGTCTGTGATAGTGCCGGCTTGCTGATAACCCGCTGAAGCCACGTAATCTACGGATCGAAGTTCGAGAGCTCGGAGGAATCAAGGGCCCGGGAGGCGGGTGGCCGGTCAGTAATGCGCGAAAGCTCCAATAAAATGCCGCTCAGTGGGACAAGCACCTGAAGATTGACAAACACGTCTGTATATTGCTAATATTTGGCGTTATCTTTATTGTTCCAACTAAGTAGCTGCAGGTGCGTGGGGGGTCCAGAATCGGTTTAGGCGTACTTGGGGGCGTATTTCTCGTACACCTTCACGTAGGCCTCCTTGGCGGCATCCTTGGAGAGTCCCTTGTTGGCGGCCCAGGCTTCGTACTTGGCCTTGCCCTTCAGGTCCAGGGCTCCGGGCTTCTCGATGTTCACATCGCCAGCGGTGGCCTGCTTGAAGAAACCGTAGAACTCCAGGAACTCGGCATCGGTGGGCTTCTTGGAGAACTTCTTGGCGAGTTCAGTAGCTTCCTCAAACTATAAAAACAATATGAGAAAAATTCTTAACAAAATCCTTTAAAAATAGTTTTCTTTTTAAATACTTACAGACACCATTTTGTAAGATTTGGATTATTCTTTTTAACGCTATATTCAAGTTAAAAAATGTAATTAATTATATAATCCGACAGGAATCTTTTGCCAATGACCTTACCTCTTCAAAAAGGCAAAGACGAGTGAATATTTTTGCACCTTTCGCTGGCGTTTTTATAGCTTCAAGGCTCCACTTTTCTCCTAGGGTTTTCCGTTTATTTTTTTAAGACCAATATTTCCCATTTTGCTGATTATTTGCCGATATGAATATCTTTATTTCGCCAATTTACTGCCCAACTACAAGAAGGGGTACATTGTCAAAGGTAGCGATATCGGAGATAGCCCCCGGATACACTTATCGTTTATTGCACCGCTGACCATGTCGTTTTAGCCAAGGGCACACTGTAGATAGATCCTCCTCTGGACTCTGAAACTTTTACGATAAGCCATATATAATGACGAAGTTCTTCGTTTGCTACTCAAACATATAATAATAAGATTAATAAAAATGTTTTTGATTGTATAATGGTATTAATCATTTGATGAAAAGAGTTACGTGGCCTTTGGTGATGCAACTGCTGATGCTAGTTGCCTAATTCTTCGATTTAACTTTAATATATATGTTGGAAGAATTGGATATTAAAAGAGCTTCACACGAAATCCTTACTTCAGAAATACAGGATAATGCGATAAAATCGATTAAATATTCACAATAAACTAAAAAGTCATTTGTTTATTTATGTTTATGAATAAACTTTTTATTTTTTATTAACTAAATAAAATAAAATTGGAGTTACTAAAACTACTTAACATATTGCAGTCAAAATTCCGTTCGACGAATACAAGTATCTCATCATCCAAAAAGTATGCTTTAATTTTTGCAGTATTTCTACATTTGTAAAATGGCGTTCAGTTTACATAATGGCGTCAGCTTATTTGAACATGTTGGGCCCAAAAACTAAAACATCTGACTAACAAGAAGTGACTAATATAGTGATTTTATATTATCATAAATACTTTATTATTTATATGTTTTAACTTGCGTTAAAAACCAACATTGTGCCCAAGCAAAGTCTATTGATTTGTTTAAATATTTTAATCTCGCGATAATGTATTTATATTAGCTAATAAATAGAGCTCTTAAAACGGCTATAAAAATAAACTAAGTACTCCTAATCAAAACAAAATAATCATAAATTAGTATTACCCAAAAGGTGTATGGCTGCATAATTAGATTGTACAGTAATTGGGTATTGGAATTCAAAAGGAAATTGGTTTTTCTCTATAGATTTTGATAATGGCTGGAGATTTCCATGAATCACTGACACTAAGTGGACAAAATTTCCGGAACCATACCAAAATATTAGTTATATAAATTAAATATTTTTAATAAACCAAAAATTCCCAATTCCCATATATTTGATAAGGCCTTATCAAATCAAGATGGAGTTTAATTGAATGATCTCACCCGATGACTTAAGGGACTAACAGTAACAAGAGGAATAATTAAGGTAAATGCATAGGGCTTTGGTTTATTATAAAATTACAATAAATACACTGAGTTTCAACAAATATCCACATGCATAGATTAGAGAAAGGGTTCAACGAGGGAATAAGAGTAGATCCATCTTATTCGTACTTGGGGGCGTACTTCTTGTAGACCTCGATGTAGTAGGCCTTGGCATCGTCGGCGGTCAGACCGGCCTTGCTCTTCCAGGCGTTGTAGCGGGCCTTCTTCTCCTCATCCTCCGGCTCCTCGATGTTGCAGTCACCAACGGTGGCCTGCTTGTAGTAGCCGTAGAACTCGAGGAACTCCTCCTTGGTGGGCAAGTTCTTGAAGCTCTTGGCCTTCTCGACGATCTCCTCAAACTGTGGATAGACTTCTATCAGTAATTGTCCTGCTTGGTAGCCCGAGGGCAGTTAACTTACGGTGGGCATGTTGGCAGTTGGTAGTTGGTAGTTGAGTGGCAAACACAAACAATCTGTGCGGATCGGGTGAGGGACACCGTTTATATATTGGCAAACATGGCTCACACCTTCCGCTAATCTAATCACCCACCCCACACTGCATTTGTAGTTCCCACTGGGCTTATCGTAAAAGTGTGTAATCGCCCAAGTGAGAGCTCCTCTTGACTGCCTTTGGAGCTATGTATAATTAGTGAGTTCGGTGGCTTATCGGCCCTCTTGCACTTGCCAAAAAATAGACTGAGCCATATGCATATATGACTATGTACCCGCACTATCTTCTCGCCCGATAAGACTCGCCCGGCCCACAGAAAAGTGATGAGTTGGACCGGCATGGGCAGAAATCTCGATTAATTAATGGTTAGCGTATTTTATTGACACCCAATTCACGTGAGTCAGTGGTATCTGAGCCTATCATAGTGAAGTCGCACGATCTATAGTGGTACTAATAATAGTACCCCCGCCAGGTGCTCCGATAGTGCTATCTAGCTTTAAAGTTTCCACCGCATATCTGGAAAAATATTAATTAACAAAAATAAACTCCGGTCTCCAAATGTAGATACAAAATTGGGCAATGCAGCTGTCCCGAACGCTCGTATTCAAATTAATTAAATTTCGGGACTATAAAAGGCCCTACTTGGCGGTGGGAACTAACTTAGTATCACTCCGGAAACTATTTTAGCAAGATGGTCAGTTTTGAGGAAGCCGCCGAACTCGCCAAGAACTTCACCAAGAAGCCCACCGACTCCGAATTCCTGGAGTTCTACGGTCTCTTCAAACAGGCCACCGTGGGCGACGTTAACATCGAGAAGCCGGGCGTCTTTGATCTCAAGAAGAAGGCCATGTACGAGGCCTGGAACTCCAACAAGGGTCTGTCCCAGGAGGCCGCCAAGGAGGCCTACGTGAAGGTGTACGAGAAGTACGCCCCCAAGTACGCCTAAGCCAGGATCTAGGATTATTCTCTCTCTCTGTCAGTCGCTAAAAATATACTCGAACCTTACCGCTAAACTACTAGAACCGGCTCGTCATTTTTAGTAGGCTGCCTCGGATTGGGGCATTGCAACGATGGCGGCGATGAGTGGCTTGGCCTGGCCCGCCTTCATCAGCATCACCCGTATCTGGGAGTTGTCCGGATTTAGGGTGGCTGGGGGCAGCTTATCCATTGAATCCAGCACTGCTACCACCTCGAAATCAACCCTCAGGGGCACGCCGGGTAGCACGCTGGGCAAGCGGGCCAGAGTCTGCTGGATGGCGTAGTGCCTCCTGTCCGCATGGAGGAGCACCACCAGATTTGAGGCCATTTTAAAGGTCGACAGGTTCTGAACAGTGAGGTAGAGGCGAAAGGCAGGCCCACTGCCGCATACTTCGGCGGAGAGTTTGACGGGGGCGTGGGTCAGGTCTCCGGATATGGTGCTTTCCGACGAGTTGATGGCATCGATGGTGGCGCGAGCGGCGGTGTGGCGGACCCGCCAGAGCTCCACCTGAAAACTGCCATAAGTGGCTGCAAAAAGGATAAAGATTAGTGGTCGATTTCCGGAGCTAGAGAAGAAGTTTCCAAAAATAATAAAATATATGACCCACTGGCCTTATTTTGGTCATAATCATATTTTTAGGAAGAACCCAGGAAAGGGTTTTTGGTAAGTTGATTCATTCTATAATCTTGATTCATATATGTCGCCGAGCGATATCGGTTTCGAGTGAATAAGGCGAGTATAGATTACCAAGACCTAGTGGAAAAAAACAGTAGCCAACCAAACACATTGAAGAGTTAAGATTGATGACTTTTTCCACTAAAAATAAATTCTAAATATTCAAATAGCTATTTCCGGGTGATAAATACCTTTCGCTTGTTGTTTCTCCCTCGCCGCTTGTTCCACGAAAATAGAACTCTTCTTGGGTTTGTCCAAAATCGAGGCATCCGCAATGGAGTTCTGATCTCCTCTATGCCGTCTATTTCCAAGATCCTCCGGTCGCGGCTCGAATCGTGAAACCCTTCGCAGGATCTTAACCACAATCTCACCGCTTTGGGTGACCAGGGTGAGCACATGGTCCTCCATGCCCATACGCCCGTATAGCATGGCATCCACTGTCTCCTTCAGAGCGAACTCATCCACCTGGTAGCGCTGAAGGTAGAACTTGACCACGCCCCCCTTAAGGGCAATGGCCACCAGGGTGAGTCCTAGGTGGGTGAGGGGTAAGGGTAGAATGCAGACTGGCGGAGCCGGCAGGGCAACCTGGTAGAGCAGCTTTCCGCGCTTGGAATAGCAAACGTAGCGGTTGTCCATCGTGGAGGCAATGATCGTCTGGTCGATGGGAAGGAGCAGGAGTCCTGTGAGCGGGGTTCCCAGCTTAAAGACTTCCTGACCCTCGGGGTGGGACTTGCGCAACAAGTAGACGCCTCCGTTCCGCGTAGCCACAACAATGCAAAAGTCCGCCTCGAAAGTTCCCTGGACAGAAATCATGCTCGGCACGGCGGTCTCGTGGCTGCAGGTCCTGCCCTCATACACTAGGTTGAAGCCCTGCGGCTCCAGGATAAGAATGTTGCCGGTGTCCGTGGCGAGAACGAGATGCGAGGGAGGATTGGCGTCGCTGGAGATGCGTTTGAGGCAGCACATGGCGACAATGTTGCCGACACGACCCACCGGCGAGTCCTTGTGGGTGCTGATGAAGCCCTCGCGCTCCTCCTCGCTTAGCTGGAGAAGTCGCTGCGACTTACGCGACAACTTGGCATGTTCGAGGTCTTTCAGAGAGTCCAGAAGGGCAGGGTGGCTCTCGGTTTTCACCACCGGCAGCTTACGCCATACCTCCTGCTCTAGTTCCTCGGAATCCAGGGCGGGAATGGTGTACTTAAAGTAGGGCTTGAGGTTTCGGTAAAAGAGCACGGACTCGGCGATGGCTACGGCAATCACTGAAAGGAAAAAAAGCAAGGTCACTCAGGACAATTTTAGGGAGACCCCTCCTACCAGGCGTCTTGGGTTCCGATTCGTCAATATAGAGACTCGTGATGGCCGCCGGAATCCCCGGGAGGGTTTGCTCCTGCTTAAGCTTAAGACCTCGAAAAACCTTGAGAGTGGCCGTCGGCTCCTGAGATGTTTCGTCCAGGGAAATGTCCGCCGCCAGAAGGCGGACATATCCATCCCGCTGGACATCACTTAAGGTGAGGCAGCTGGAAAGGGTTGTGATCTTTGGACTATCATCCTCCGTTTCCACATGAAGCCAGTTGGGAGCACCGGCCATGGCAAAACAGGCAGGATATCAAGAATTCCTAGACTGCGGCAGTGCGAAAACTAACAGATGATTCAGTGTTTTGGTTTTTCGCTTTCCTAGCAACCCGGAAACCTAGCAACTGAAGCGGGTTACAGGATATCGAGGTTCCAAAATATTACCACTATCGAATACATTTTTATTTCGAAGATTCCTAAATCAAAAAATTTCGAAGTTTCGAAAAATTGCTCAGAAACTAAGAACTATAAAATTACATAACAACATAAATTTTTGGCGTCTACTGGAACCTATATCTTTAAAAGTATGCATCTGATATCTCTGAGGTGTACATCAAAAAACTTGTAGAAAGAATATCTTTCAATCGGTATCCAAATCATAGAAACTCTTTTTTGGTCGATTTTTGACAATTTTTATGATTTTCAAAAAATCGAAAAAATTTTAAGTTTCTCTATTTTACTAGAGAAAGTACTATTGGAAAATATAACTTTTTCTGAGATTGAAATGATACAACATTCTCCGATCAAACAACAAATAACTGAGTTGTGATCATCCAAAGTTCGAAAACTTGGTCGGAAATTGGTCATTAGAAAATTGAATAAAAATATTAATTTTTACTCTCTATTAAAACGTGTATTTTCAAAAGTATACATCCGATTTCTTTGAGGATCACATTAAAATACTCCTGGGGAATATATCTTTCATTCTTTATTAAAATCTAAATTAATTAATTAATTTAATAAATTAATTTTTTATCGAATTTGGGCAATTTTTAAGGAAAATTTCAAAACTCTTGAGAAAATTTCACATGCTCAGATTTAAGTGAAGAAAGTATTAGTTGTTAATAATAGTTATGCTGAAATCGGAACAGTATTCCAATTTTCGATCAACCAAATAGGAACCAAGTTATGAGCTTCGGAAAAAAAAGCTCAAAAAAAGCCATTTTATACACATTTTATTACACATATCAAATAACTCATAAGAAAACTTAAAAAAATAAATTCATTATAAAAAATCATTTATTTAAATTAACGGAAATGCAATATGTTATCGATAAATATATTACGATAGTTTATACGATATATTTCTTGCATCCCTAGATACACCAACAAAAACAGCCACAAAAATAAAGAAGAGGAAGACCGACGCCAGCGTTAAGTTGTTTTATTTTGTAGATTTAAGTGAAAATATTTAACTTTTGTTTTCCGAGTGATGACGGAGCTTAAAGACGAGGTTCAGGTATTCAACAAGGGCGAGATCGTCCTTTGCTACGAGCCTGACAAGTCGAAAAAGAGAGTTTTGTATACCAGCAAGGTTTGTACACACACCGACTCCAGTGCAACCCACACACGCGCCGACAAACGTCAGGCAAACGTCAAAAGAAAAGGGCGCATTTGATTTTTCAGTTAATTAAAAACACTATTGACGCTTTTCCCCTTTAACCGAAAGGTTTTGGCAGTCTTCGAGCGCACCAACGAACATGGCCTGAGGTACTACGACTACAAGATACACTTCCAGGGTTGGCGCCCGTCCTACGACCGCTCGGTGCGGGCCAGTGTTCTTCTGAAAGACAGCGAAGAGAACCGACAGCTTCAGCGAGAACTGGCTGAGGCGGCTCAGCTGCAGATGTGGGTGAATATGGACATAAGGCCTGTTCGTTTATCTAATCCACTTTTCCATTTGCAGAAGGGGCGACTACTCGTACAAGGGCACGCCCGATAAGCCGGCTTCGAAGAAAAAGCGCTCAGGCCGCGGTCTTGGTACCTACGTTGAGGATTCAGCATTTGATCCATTGGATACCACACCTATCTCCGATCAGGAAATGCCGTCCAATAATAGAAGCTCCGGCAGGGGCATTCGCAATAATAGGGACAACAGTGGCGGCCGTAAAGAGAAGGGTTCTGGAGCGCCGGCATCTACCCCTGAGGCTAAACTTAAAACCACCCGAGGACAGGTGGAAGAGATGCCTATGGATGTGCTGGAGCCAGAGGAACGCGTAATGCTGCGCATCAGCGAACGACTACGCGAGTATATGGAATACGACTACAACATGGTAGTGAAGCTGGGCAAGCAGCATGCTATGCCCGCTAAAATACCCATTGTGACCATACTGGAAAACTTTGTTAAACAGCGTGCCGTTGAGCTGGCCATTAGTATTAAGCAGGATAGCTCTCGGGCCAGAAACACTCAAAGCCGGAACGCCCGTATGGAACGGGAATACGACCGAGTAATGTCCAAGTAAGTAAACTTGTGCCTAGTAACATAGGATAGCTTCCGAATTTATGACATCCCTCATCGAACTATTATCTTTCAGTGTCTGCATGCTAAAGGAGGTGGTCGATGGCATTAGGATCTATTTTGAGTTCCACGTGGACGACCACCTGCTTTACAAAGAGGAGAAGGAATACACCCACAACTATCTGACTGATGACAACATGCGTAACTGCAGCATTGCGCTTAACAACTCCTACGACTACATAAATCCCAATTGCGACACGGAGCTCCTCTCCATGGATGGTACGCCTGTTGTGTCCAACAAAAGCAACGGCGTTGATGGCGGAATTCTGGGCGATATTGAGTACGAGAAGCAGCTGCAAAAATGCCTCTTGTACATCGTGAAAAGCACCGGGAAAAACACAGCACACGCCTACGATCAACGAACATCGCCCTTTACTGCCGCCTACAAACTACCGCCAGAGATGCGAGGTTTCCTCTGCGAGACCTTCAACTGGAGGTTGCTTTCGGCGGAGTCGCCACCGGAAAAGTCAATGGTGTTCGGAGCACCTCACCTTGCAAGGATGATGAGTAAGTTGCTGGTGAAAGTTGGTGGTTATCCAATGGCTCACATACGTTGTCTTTTAGTCAAACTGCCCGAATTCCTCAACGTGTCACCCATATCCAACCAGAAGCTAGTGGATCTACTGCCACACTTGGACTCATTCATTAAGTAAGTAACTAAAACAACTTTCTTGTGTATCAATCTAAAGAGAGTATTTCTTTTTAGCTACTTGGAAAACCACAAAGAATGGTTCGATAAGGAGAACTATGTGCACCCGACCGTTCATCAGGAGCAGCTGCAGCGGGAGCTGCTGGACTCTCTGGACCAGCCCATTAAGATGTCCGCCTAGATTTTAGTTAATTATAAACTATTTTATTTATTATGCAGTTTTAAAGCTTATGTTCTTTTATTTTAAAGATTTGTAATTGTCATTTCATGATTTCATGTTTTGGTTTCCTCAACTACACACTTTGTAAATAACGCGCTTCTATAAAAAAGTCTCCTACACATGTATAATCGAATAATGGCTACAATCTATATGTTAAATATGGAAAATACGAGTTTAACATTTTTTTTTGCCTTTTTTTTCAATTTTTTTTCTTAGCCTAAGTTTTAGTTAAGTAATTTTACTTGCTAGTATTTTTGTCTTCGTTTTGTGTTCAAATAAATCTAAGAATTGCAAGATTATGTCTTTCGGTTTAGTTTGTTGTCAGGGATTCGGAAACTCTGTGGTCTGATGGAATGTGCAGGGGAATCTACGGATTTCTGAAAAATACTGCAACTTTAACAATTATGTGGTTATATTTTGTGTGACAGATCCTGCCTAGAAATTCGAAATTGTCGCATGGACGGCTTGGATTTGGATGCATTCGCTTTGTAACATGTGTAAACTTGGGACGTTAACTTGGACGAGGTCTTCCCGGCTCGGCCCGGATCTTCTACTTCTGCCGCTTGGTGGCACTGCTGGCCGTGGGACGCATGAAACTGCTCACAGATCGACTGCTTCCGGAGCTACGCTGCTGGGGATGGGTGCTTGGACTCATTCTGGCCTGTTGCTGTTGCTGCTGCTGGTTCATGGCGTTCTTCACCAGAACCACGCTGCGGGCGGCGCTCATTCGGGATTGGGGGCTAGGCTGCTGGGACTGGGACTGGTTCTCCTTGAAACTGGTGCTGCCACTGATAGTTGTCCTGGGCGCTGTGGTGCCCATTTTGCTGCGCACCAGGATCACACTAGGACCCACGCTGGATCCACTGCTGCTGCTTCTGCTGGCGGGCACTCCCCGGCCCGGCGTGGGACGAAGATTCTGGGCGGCCAGAGGTCTCTTGCTTGGCGAGGAGTCAACGGACACAGTGACTACTGGTCGCTGTACGGACGGAAGTCGCCTGACTACTGTTTGCGTGGAGGCGCCACTGTTGATAGAGGAGCGTGATGATCGTAGGCTATTCCTGGAGCTGCTGCGCTCCACACCTGCGAGGACCTGCTGCTCCTGCGGAGAGCGTCTCACCGCCGAGGCGGACCGAAGCGGGGCGGCACTGGTAAGCGGCTGACCATTGGGCATCCGTAGTGGGCGGTTTGTGGAGGCACTCCTCTTTACCGTGGCCACCTGCGGGGCGGCCACATGGCTTTGCGACTTGATGGCAGAGGGTGTGGAGCTACTGCTCCGGGTCCTGGACAGCTGCAGGCGGTCGGCTGGGCGGCTACCCATCTGCGAGATGCTGGTGGTAGTGGGCTTCTGCTTCTGGAGCGGACGTTGCCTTGAAGGAGTCTCATTGACGCCCTCGTTACAGGAGGAGTTGGTGCTCTCACCCTTGCCGTGGGAGGGAGTGTCTGAGACGAGGCTCTGGGTCTCCTCGAAGCCCTCGTCGTTGAGCTCGTGGTGGTGCCCACTGGCTGTAAGCTTCAGCCTTGATGGGGTAATCTCCCGCGGAGGACTCCAAGGACGCTCCGGTGTACCCGTGGGGGACTTGAGGTTTCGAATGGCTTCCCGAACGTCCTCCTGGTTGATGGAGCTGATGTGGCGGCCCACCTTTTCCAGTTTGTTAATGGTGCGTTCCTTCTGCTTAACCTTTTCCAGTGGCGGTGGCTCTGGCTTTGAGGACGAGGGCTTCACCTCTTGCTTGGGGGTGCTGGTGGTCAGTAGCTCCTCGTTACCACTGCTGTAGTCTGTGGGTCTCTTGTAGCGACGAGTTCGTCGCCCCAGTGCATGACGATCAAAGTGGCCGGGGACATCCTGATCCGCTGATCCCATGCTTATGGTAATTTTCTCCTCGGGAATGGCCTTCGGCTTATCCGTCATGCTCACAGTTACCACTGTCGTGGTGGGCGTGGAAATCACCCGACGGCTCACTGGTGGCGTCTCTATATTGTCGGCATCCACCTCTTTGGAGGAGGCCTGCATCTCGTTTTGAGTTTTGTGATGGCTCAGCAGGCTGGCAAAGGTATCATCGGTAGTGGACACCTGAGGCTTTGGTGACTTGGGCGGCTGTTCCTCTGCTGCTTTGGGTTGCAGCTCCCGGATGGCGGATCGTCGTTCCTGTTCGCCCATTTTCTGAATGAACGTTTTCCGGCGATCCTCTTCAGCAATGGAGTGCAGGCCTCCAGCGCTTGTCTGGTCTTGTGGTCGCTGGCGGCGGTAGTGATGCAGTGTATCTTGCGGCTGGGCATCGGCTATGGCCTGAAGATTGGCCACCACATCCGTTTGCTCGAGCGTCTTTGAAGGCTTCCAATCAGCGTAGACGCGCTGATATCTTCCTGATTCTTGCTCCGGCTTCCTGGTATTAGTGGTATTACTACTGGGATTAGTGGTCGTGGGCGTGTTCGTTGGCGTTGCTGTCGTTGTCGAAGGCATGATCTTTTCCTCCGGCAAGGGGTCCAGTTTTCGTTCGTTTTCTAATGGGGATGAAGGGTGGTTATATACACTTCTAGATAAATGCTAGAAAAGATCCTCTCACCAGTTTCGTTTTCGAGCGATCGCCGGTTGGCGTTGACCAGACGACGCTTCCTCTTGTACTCCTCGTTTTGCTTTTCGTCGTTCTCGTTGGACTGCAGCCAGGTCTCGATTTTCTGTCGCCACTCTCGGGATATTCTGGAAAGGACACAAGTTTATGATAACTAATTACATTGTTTTTGAAGTCTTCCCACCTCGGTTTCGCATCCTCGTTGATGGGCGGCGTCTGACCACTGCCCGTCGGCGTATTGGCTGCACTGGCCAGCGGCGATTGCAGTCGCTCCTGTGCCTGTTGCTGTTGCAGGAGCGGAGCTGGTGAGCTGGCCCTCTCTCGGTCCATGCCAAAGTCAATATTAAGCAGATCTGGTCGCTTGCGGCTCGAACTTCCGGAACGGGCACGCCGAGCCCAGGAGCGATCTAAACTACCGTAGGCTGCTGCTTTGCGCTCCCGACTGATGTGGCCATCGTGGGGTCCTGTGGAGCTACGCAAGAACTCCATAAGGTCGTCTTCCTCGGCCAGCACTCGACTCCGGCGCCTCCTTAAACTGCCATTGGGAGTAATGTCCGGCGAGGCACCATCCTGCTCCAGGCGAATGAATCCATTGCTGATCTCGCCAGATCCCAGATGACGGCGGCTCAAAGCCGGACTAGCTCGGGGATCGAAAATGGCGTCGCCCAGGAAGGAGTGCTCCGAATCCGACACGGGGGTAATTGCTTGACCAACTGGAAGAACAGAGATTAAGGTTAGTTTTTCCAGTTTTTTTTGCTAAATATTTTTTCTAGTGCAGGTGAGAGATAAATTTTCTTCCAAACTTACTCTGCTTGGCCCGGCGGGCCATTTGCTCTTCGCGCTGCTTTCTCCTCAGTGTAGCCTGCTGCTCCTGCTGCTGGCGGCGCTCGTTCTCCTTGACCGCCTGCCGGAACTTATCACAGAAATTCTGGAAGATCTTGAAGCACTCCTCCAGCCGGAAAGTGGCCGCGTCCTCGCAGAAAAAGTCGGATAGCTTCAGGCGCATAGACTCCACCTGTTTCATTCCCGATTGGAGCACGGACAGTTCCGACTCGGCGGCCTGCAAGAAGTCCGCCATCTGCTCCTTGATATCCGTGTCTGTGGCAGGCTGTTCGATTTGTCGGGCTATCCTTCGGATGCGTCCATCCAGGGTATTGATTTCGTTATTGATCTGCTCCGAGGTGGTTCTGGAAGAAAACGGAAAAGGCTTGTAAAATGGCTGATTAGAAATCCTGAATATTCCACTTACTTGCTGGCATTTTCGAGGGCACTCAGCTGACTGGTGAACTGCAGCAGCTCCGGATTACGTCGCTCCGCCTGCAGGGCTACAAAATGTATGAGGTTCATGCCCGGTTTGTTCGCCCGGATGTCGGTAAGCTTTTGCAGTGAGGCGAGCTTCACGCCCGCCGCATTTCCAGCGTAGCCTCCGGAGTTGAGGAAGTTTCCGGCCACCACAACCATATAGAGCACCTCCTGCAGGATCTTGTTGTTCAGCAGATCGTCGCCGGCGTAGAGCATGGAATTGATGCAGGGCTCCAGATAGGCCACGTTGGCCGCAAACTCCTCCTTCAGGAGCATGCTCTCGATTCGTAATTTGTAGCTATTAAAGAAAGGAAAGAATAATATAGAGAAAGCTACAGTATCATCTTGGTAGCTTCACTTACTTGGGCACCTCCAGCAGCTGGAGCAGAAACTTCTCGGCATTGCCCAACCTCGCCTTGTCCCCGTTGAAGCTCTTCAGCATATCCAGCTCATCCACCTCCGGCATGATCTTTAGCAGGCCCCTCAGCCTCTCTGCGCCGATCTCCTCGTGGGAGCCCTGCCGTATCAGCTGGATGATCTCCTCGTGGCTGGTGCGGAATTGTTTCAGGAAGATGTTCACATTAAGACTTCTCTTGCCGTCCAGCAGTGTGATCTCCGTGCACTCCTTTTTCGACTTGCGATCCAAGGTGTCGCACCCATTGGAACCACTAGAGCCCTGTCCTCCGCTGCCTTCGCGTCCCAGCTTGGGCGATCCCTGAGCACTGGTGGTTTGCAGACAGAACAGACCCTCCATCTCGTTCCAGTCAATGTCCTGCATGGGGTTGTGCTTGTGGTTGCTGGCCACGATGGCCCAGATGTTCTGCTTTCCGACGACCTTATTGTGCGGTATTTTGCCCCAGTTGATGGTCTTCATCTTAGCCTTGGGCGCCGGGGTGTCTAGTTGGGGCAGCAACACGGCCGCCTCCGCCTCCGCGGCTAGTGGGTCCGGTGTACGGGGTCGTGAGGCCAGTTGCATGGAGGGCGGAGGCGGCGGTGGCGGCAGGGCACTACCATTGAGCAGCGGAGGTGGCGGCGGAGGTGGTGCCTGGCCTCCTCCATTTAATGGTGGAGGCGGGGGCGGTGGAACGCCGCCGGACGCTGGTGGTGGCGGAGGTGGCGGTGCCGGTTTGGTTGC